TGTGCCGAAACCGTTCAGTAAGAACTGTTTTTTTGTTCGATTAGTTTTTTTTTTCTTTACTCCACTTGGGAGCATTAAGACCTTTCCCTTGACTTTAGAGTCAATATCACTTTTTATAGGTCAGTGAGTGTGAACAACGCGGCGACCAATCTGCCGTGATTTTTTTTTATTTAGGTTAAATATTGGAGATTATTGATGTAGATAATAATCTATTATTTTTGGTTTTCAATATCGAATACTGCGGATATATACTCGTATATAGGTAATTACTTTTATATTAATATTTTATTTAAAATATTGTAAAAATTTTTATAGTAACCTAACCAGGACTAGAACCCGAGGACCTTCGCTCAAAGGGCCGATGCCACTAACATTGCAGCATTGATTAGACTAAAAGCTTTGATCAAAATCGAATATGAAGAACACATCTTCTCACAGTTGAAGTGCTATTATATACAATAAATTAAATAAAAACAAGTTTTAAAAATCTTTCTTCCTTAAAATTGATTTTCCAATAATAATATATTCTAAACTCATTCGAATTCTCTTGTTCTAAAACAAATAGAACACTCACGAAAGGAATCTTTTACATAATACAAAAAATTTAAATCTTTTCCGAGACAAACCTCGAATTGAAATATGGAAAATTTATTTATTCGAAATAAAATAGTTAACCAATATTGTATAAAAATTAAGTAGCGCGAGGCTTTAAATTTATAACAGAAAATTGTTGCTTTTCTTTATCTTGTTATTGATACAAATTTCATTGACTAATTTAATATCATCTTTAAATACCAATATAGTGTCACAACAAGGTATATTTGTTTGTAAATACTCGTATATGTAAAAAAAAATTTATATTCGTTCATAACTTTTAAAGCCATAAGGGAAATAAAAAATATAAAAAAATTTTTTAATAAAATGAATTAAATTTACAAATTAAAATTATATTTGTACATAAATATGTAACGTATGTATTTGTCACCTTAATAAAATTTTACAAAACAATATACGCAACCTCTCTACATATTATAGCTTGCAACTACTATACTTATATGTGTATATAGCTGTGCAATTATTGTTATTAAATCCATTCACTATCTTCACTCTGAGATTAATTGCAAAAACATCATTTTACCTATTTAATCAAAATTTGGAAAATTGACAGTCCTCCATGGCTAGTTACTTTAAAATATGTACTCATATGTACATATTTATAATGATTTTAAACCATTTGATTAATTGGTGAATAGACGAAAATTACGCGAAATCAAAAATAATGATGTGAAATTTTGCAAGTAAAAATAAAAATAAACAGTGTGAGACAAATAAAAATGTTTCTTTATAACTATTTGGGACCCTAAATTTTTAATATTCTATGTTAACATATACGTATACGAGGAATTCTAAAACGTTATTTTTTAATTAATTTTTTATAATGAATGGCGATTGTAATTTTGCATCTTTGAATGCATCTTGCAATATGGAAATCTAACGAATTTCTACTTACCTTATCATGTGTCAATCAGTTTATATTTTATATTGTTGCTAGCCTTAACTGCAATTTCCCAATATAATTCTAATATTTTTTTAAAAGCAACAATAATTTTAAAGGTATTTTTTTTTTTACCAAAATATAACAGACGTGTCACAGGACCCAACACAAGTTTTAGCTTAGCTTAGCAAAAATTTCAGATTTATCGACCGGTGATATATTGGGACTCAACGTAAATTTTCTTATGTATTCGCCTATCAGAATGGGATCAAATTTAATTTAGTTTTTTTTATAACTATGTTTGCTTTGTTTGTCTTAAATTATAGTGCAGTAACTATAATTTGAGACAACAGTTAGTCGTTTTATACCCTTAGTTATTGGCTACCCTTAATTTTGTAAGAATTAACAGAATAAGCGACTAATAAAATCTCTACAATTTATTTCTATTTGGAACATTTATACATTATACACTCTGTAGAAATTTAGTGCACTATATATACAAATATATATACATAGATATTTATTTAATTAAAATCACTTATAATACCATATAACAATAATAATTTTAGAAATAACCAAATATTTTTACGGTTTTACTCTTAGAAGTCTATATACATACTGCATACATATAATATTAAAAAGTTTTATGAAAATAAACATATGTATAAATAAAAATGTCGCGCCTTGTGATTTAGGCACATTAATTCTGTTTTTATTTATATATAAATAAATGTTGTAAGTAACTAACATATAAATGTGATAATAAACTTATAACCTATAATTTAATAAGTATAGGCAAATGATGAAATATTTTCGTAGCGTGTATGCTTGTAAAACAAATTTAATGGTAATTTTTACAAGAAAGTTCCGGAAACGTATAATGAATTTAAAAAGTTGATGAAAATTTGAAAAAGAAAATTCGCAATATACGCTAAACAAATACAAACATATATGTATATGAAAAAGATATAAAAACAAAATGAATAAAAAACATGAAAATTTGTGAATGAAAAACATGAAATTATTGCAATTTAAAACTAAGAAGATTTTGTAAAGAAAATTAAATTTGAACCCTTTTTATATACACACATATATTATAATTGAGAAAATATTTGAAAACTATTCAGTTTAGTTTTTCAAGAAATGCTATAAGTACACGACATTTTTGAAAAATTGCACCCATTAGAGAGAAAGTTTAAGCATACGTACATATCTAAAACAAATTGAACAGTGAAGATCTTTCGCTTATAATCGAAGATATTTTATTTCAGAATTAAGAATTTTAAGCTTTTTTTTTAAATATATTTAGTTATGTCCCTAACATATATATTACTTTTCAATTTCAACAGTATATACATATGTTGCATGCATAAATGCTTGTATATGTGCTTTTTTAAATATGTACTAAAATTTTCTACTTGAATTAACAAAAAAATTATACAAATTAAGTAGAACATGCGTAATAAAGTTAAAATATCACCGTTCGATAATGTACATATGTACGTCTATAGCACAAAAATATAAAAGCTAAATACTTATATTAATTTTGAAATTGCATATTTTATGGCGTGACCAAATATTCTCAAATCTTTATAGTTATAAAATAATACTTCATTAACATAATTAAATATAAATTAAATATATTATATTAAATACAAAATATATATTACCTATAATTTCAAAATTACATAATATAGAATAGAATGAAATTGTTCTATAAATACTATACCAAAATTTAAAACAAAAATCATATGAATAATATAGGTAAATGAATAATTTTAAATTCAATTTTTTGTTTTCCATAAAGATCCCATTAAAGCGTATATTGTACGAGTTATGAATTTAAATATGAAATTTTTGAAATATTTATGATGCATAAGGTTAACCCATCTTCGGATAAATTGAATTTTGATAAATAAAGAATATTATTGTTAAAAGCTCATACACAACAACAAAAGATTTATGAATTGAAATAAAAATACACATACAATTATATACATACATATGCATATATTATATACATATATTTTTAAACAAAATCTCAATAATTTTATTGATTTCTTATTATATTTTATTATATTGATTATTTATTATATAAACATTGCAAATTCTAAATAATTTTTATAACATTAAGTTTTGTTCAGCTAATTCATGTATAATTTTGATTTTTTAATTAATTGAAATTCTTTAATTTTAATATACTTTATTATGATTTTAATACCAAGCCAAATAAAAGATTAATATCTGAAGAAAGGAATGAGGAAATACAATTTATATATACAAATTGGGATCTTTGTAATAAAATATTGAAAAGAGGAAAAAGAATATTGAACGTGTAATGATTTTAATTAAATATTTACATACTTTAATATTAATAATAAATTTAATTATTAAGAGTATTTAAAAAAATATGTCATGAAACATTTTTTCGCAATATGGTATTGTAAAATATTGACAAAATATACACGAATTAACTCAACATGTCTCCTTAAAATTTAAAGGTAAATTCATACGAGTACCATATACGATTTACATATAAAGGTTAATTTACACTATATACGAGCTATTTATATAAGCTGTTATTAAAACAACATATGTGTATACAATAATCAAATATATAGCATAATAAAAGCAATACAATAGGAAAAATTTTAATACACGTTCCATTAGTATAATTTAGGAAAAATTTTTATTAAAACTTCTATATTGTTGTGATTCATTAACTCAATTAAATAGGTAGCAATAACCTCACAAATTATTTACAAATATAACCAATATCACTTAACTTTGTTAAATTATTCATAGACTTAATCTTATATATTTTGAATAATATTCTTGAAATTAGACATATACTTTAGGGATTCTATTTAAACAAAATTTTGGCAAACAAACATGAAGTATATATACAAGTATATTGTTTTAGAAACAGTAATTTTAAAATTTTTACTTTTCCGTTATACTTATACAACATTCCTTTAAATATACAAGTATGTAATTAATAAAAATTTTGAAATGACCCTAATTTAACTATTTTAAATCCTAAATATACTTATTTTATTAATGAACTTCTCTCTAAAATTTGCCGATTATATTAAAACTTTACAAAATATTATTGTACCATAACCATTGCATCATTTAATAAATTGAAAACAGTTACAAATTCTTAGAATATCTCAAATCTGTAAAATATATAATTGACTACATATTATGTTATGCTTGAAAATATTCTTAAGATTACGAGTATATATGAAAAACATAAATTTGAACACAAAATTTATAAAAATCCGACTGATTTTGAAATATGCACGTCTAGTACAGTATTGTTGTCAGGATCCTTTTTTTGAAATTTATTTAAACCAGATCATATACTTATAATATACTTTAGCTTTACACATCCTTATTAAGTATTTTACAGATATAAAATTATTAATTAAATACATTATAATTAATGATATAGTAATATAGTAAATAATTATATTAATTAATCTCTATTCTATTCTCTTACCTTTTTTATTTGACAATATTATCCTTAAAAAATATAAATTTTTAAAAATTATTTTTAAGTGCAATGTTTTCACCGAAAATTTTCTTATTATTTCTATTTTGATTATTAATGTTTCAAATTATATACATATGTACATTTATTATGTAGAAAAAAACCAATTATATAATAATTTTAATTTTGAATCTACGTTTTTTCTCAATGTTTTTACACTTTTGTATTATTTTTAAATTTTCTTTCAATCAAAAAAATAACCGAAAAGCCCAATGCGAATTAGAATGGATTAATATTTAAAAAAAAAAATAATTAAAGAAAAACTTTAAAAAATTATTTGAAATTCTTTTTTTTATTATTGTTAGCTCTTAACTGACTGAAGTCAGCTACTAGACAATTGAAAATTTTATTTTGCTATCTGCCTTTATAAAACTATCATTCAAATGCGAAAAAAAAATAAGCAACAAAATGGACAGTAATACTTAATAATTTTTTTTAAATTTTAGATATATGTTTATGTATGTATGTACGTTTGTATAGATATACACGAAAAATTCGAATACAAATCAAAATAAGATAATTACGGTGCACATAAATATTTGTGTGTATAAATTTCGGTTCTATTTAAAAATACTAATCTGCAGAATATTAACCTGAGCTTTTTTTTTGTTTTTTTTTTTATTTTTGTTTTATAATTGTATACTTCTTATTCTTATATTCATTATAACTTCTATATATCTTCTATCGCTGTATAATAGTAACATAATATTTTTTATAATTATCTCATGAGAGAAAATTTTTATGTATGCATACTAAATATAGAACACAACACAAAAGAAGAATATTTAAGACGCGAAGTGTTAGAATTGTAATTGAAAGTGAATTCGGGTATGGAAATCATAAAATGTGCAATATTATATATGAAAATGTAATAAACTTATATGGTAGGGCCTTCAAAAATAAAATGTTAATAGAAATCATATTAAATCACAAAACACTCTTACCAAACGAAATTTCTTTCCCAAAATCCCATCATTTTTCTTTGAGAATAATGAAATTTGTTAATGATAGCAAATTAGAATAAGAAAGTATTTAAAGAAAGCATGTATATATATACATGTACATTTCAAAAATGAATCTGACTCCAACTATTAACTAAACTATTAAGAATGTACTGAAACTATTCAAGATTCTATTGGTGGAATTCTGAAGCAGTATAATAGAATAAACTTATAGAAATATTAGAAATTATTTACCTTTTAATGATCCCCTTTTTGAGCTATTGTACCTCAAAGTCGTTTTAAGAGTCATATGTTTTACCTATTGTTTTTAATAGCTTTAGACACAGTTTATATCATAAACATATTGTGTAATATTTACTATCAAAATCTGATTATGTGTGTTGTTTACTTAGAGCAAAAAATTAAAAGAAAAATGATTGAAAACAAATGTAGTTAAATATTGACTTAACACTCAAATATTTCAGAAAATGAGCACATTTTGAATAGATGTGATACTTCTCAAAACAGATTTTAATTTACTCTAATAAGAGCTTACCAAGTCAGCTCTACTTGTCATATTCCTTTATTTATGAGAAAAATTTTCAAAATTGGACGCTCGTCAGTAAAATCAATTTCAAAACCGAAACACCCCAAAGAAGACTTTAACTGGGAAAATGTACTAATCAAGAACAACTTTTGAATAAATGCATCAAGAATAAATTTTAAAAAACTTAGCTGTGGTGTTTTTCGTCATATTTCATAAAGCAAGTTTCTATTTAAGTTAATAAAATAATGATTGAATAATATTAATCCAATTAACTCAATAAATAAAATATTTTGAAATGTTATAATAAATAAATAGAAAATTGTTTTGAATTTCAATATTACATTTCTTAACAAATTAAAAAAACGAATGATGCTAATATTGTTTTATAAATTCACTGCATAATTTAAAAATATAAGATGTTAAGTACAAAAGATTTCTAAAATTGTATTAAAAAAATTCTAATATCAGAACGTTAATATTTTACAACGGATGTAAAATTTCAAACATAATTATTCTTCTTAGCCCAATATGCAAAATTTTATTGTTTTTAACACAATATTTAAGATGCAATTTTCAAGGGTATAACACAAATTCTGTTGTATTCTTTATTTTAGTGCAATCATTATACCAACACTTAAGAAAAACAACATTAAATAAAATTTTTTTCCATTAAAAATTTAACCATTATTGTAGTAGATTTAGTAATAGAATAAATTCACACGCGCCAAAATCACTTTAATTATTTTATATATATACTTGAGCAAATTATATTATAAAAACGCATATCATAAAATTGCCAGTTCGTTTATGTGTTCTTGTTAGATAGATTTCGAACTATCAGCCTGATCTTGCTTTTTTACTCACTTTTTATTTACTTTCAAATCAGAATTCTCAGTATTTTCTAATGGATTTTTTTAATTGGATTTTTGCATTTTTTTTCAAATTATCTCACTTTCAAAAACAAAGTGAATAAATTTTGTATGCATTTTAGAATAAAACGAGATACGCAGTACTAAGTAATTTTTCTCACTGGAAAATTACATTATGCAAGTATATGATAGTTACTCACTTTCTTCTCATTTTCCAAATTAAATAGTGAGATAGACGATCAGACTCCAAACTTCATGAATATCTTGCTACATAGTTTTTGAACAAATTAGAACATAAGTTGAACGAATTGTAATAAATAAAAAAAATTGTAATCCGTGTAAAGACTACTATACATTAGACTTCTGAAATTGGCACCTTATACAGAAAACTCATTAAGAATATTTGTTTTTGATTAAATGCAACTATAGAAAGAGAAATTTCATATCGTATAACATATCTCAAAGTTAACCAAACCAAATTTATTTATTCGCATAAAATATATAAGTATATACATACATAATATTATGTTCATAAAAATCTTTGTACTTAATTTTGAAAAAAAAAATTTGATAAATTAGTTAGCATAATGTATGGATATTTCAATACATAAATGTTTAAGGTATATTGTACTTTAATAATAATCGCGGTTTTTCTTTCAAGGTGCATTTCTGAACCTCTTATATAAATGCAGACATATATATAGATAATTTTTTTCGAATTTTTCATCTTATATCTTAAATACAGTTTACTTTTCCACATCAACTCTTTAAAATATAATTTTATAAATATATGTACGCATATATATGTATATTTTCTAGTTGTTTATTCCTCCAAGAAGAACAACAAACGCCGAATAAATTGCCTTGACCGCTTCATGCTATTTTAATTTTGATTTGAGATTCAAATATAATTTTTTAATTCAAGAATATTGTAAGCTTGTAAATTCGTTCATAATAATATTTTTAAACTTTAAGTGTACATGCATTTATAAATAACATGTAATGTATGTATTCGAATAGTACATAATTATACAATATTATGAAATTAAGTTATGAAATATTCTAAAAAATTATTATGTTACGCATCTCTGAATCGATTACACTTTTTAATTCCGCCTATGTATTATACGAGTATATAGATTTTATATGCATTTTTAAAGACTTATTTTTCTTTCTTCGGAGAACGATTTATTCTTGTTCAGAATCAAATCATAAATCGTTATCTGATCTATCTCCGCCTGTCTTTTGAATAAGCGCTTACATAGTGAAAATAAGTAAGACTGGTTCAGTGGAATTTTGTAAGAACTTTAAAAATATTCGCCCAATAAGTTCATACGGGATATCGTTGGAAAAATCTCCGAAATTTCTACCACCTTTGATCGAAAACTTATTTCAAATATCGATACTCCATGGTCCCAGATTCTGAGAAAAGGTTTTTAAAACAAAGGGTTAATATAGTCATGTAACATATCGTTTGAAAAGTCCTTAAAAACTTTACAAAGAAGGTATCTCTAAACTTAAAATTTGGCCGAATTCAATTTTGATAAAATTAGCTTTACTTGATTTTTCTACCAAAGTAAAATTATTTGGAAATGATAACTAAAAGTAAAATATCAAATTTAAATTTCTATATCTACCTATATGTACATGTATTATTTTTTGTTTCTGCAATTAAAATGATATTTGTTAATAATAATTAAGATGATGTATCTCAATGTCACCAAGAACACATATTTTCTTTTTTAGGATTCAAAATAATTTCATATATTTCTTTAAAAATTATAGCTTTAGTAGCTATCTCTAAGATGTTCGTGCATACGTAAAATTTATTAAAAAATATAATAAATTTAATAATAATATACTTAAATTAATTGAAATAACAATGAAGATATTAATTCGCAAATCATAATTGGATATTAATTAGTTACCTACACAAATATAAAAGAAATATATCTAATCCATCAATTCAAAATTATTTTTAAAATCTTTGAATAATTTTTTTGTTTAGGTTTATAAAAAATGCAATGAGTTGAAATATTATGTATTAAAAATAGATATATGTATGTATGTATACATACATAATTGCTAAGCAATTTTAATCTTACACCTTTGAGAAAAGGTATATGACATATGTATGTATGTACTTATGTACTAATCACTGCCAAAAGTTCTCCAAGGACATCTTTATTAAATTATTTAAAAGCTATTTTTATCGTGGAAACATCCTAATATAAAAAATATACATATATGTGATTTTGTTATATCTATGTATTGTTATGTATACGCAATGCATTTTTACTAAGCAATTAAATCCAATATTCAGTGGTGAACATAAAAAAAAACTTTCGTTGTGCCCACTGCTCCCACTCGGCAAGCACAAATTGTATCCGATTTCGAGCAAAAAATGTATCTAAAATGTTTCCAGCCTCATAAAGTAAAATTATTACACTAAGTCGTCTTATTTTATTTACAGTATATTATTATTAATATTAATTTGCTTTATTCAACAAGTTCAGTTTTGTTATTTGTAGAATATTCTTTAAGAAATTACATACAACTTATATTACATTTTAAATGTAAAAATTAAGGTAGGATAATACATACTTACGTATGTATATGTTCTTTAGCTGTTGAACTATGCGGTAAACACGATTCACCATGAAAACGAAAAAAATTTTAAAAAATATGTATACAGCCAACGCATTTTCTATTACACCTACCTTATAGCAAAATATTTCTGGTACGTTCTTATCTAAACGTCCTAGATTTAAATACAGGAAGAGCAAGTAACATTTTTGGGAGATAAAGCCATTTTGCGATTTAATATTGGCAGCTTTTTAACAGTTTCCACATTTCATGTAATGTATCACCTTAAGCAAAATTTTCAAATGTAGCCAATTTCGGCATTTTAGCAGATTTGGGTATCTTTGCACTCAACCTAAATTTAAAAGAAAAAAGTATCCAAATGGTTGCGCCTCAATATATCACAAAAAAATTATATTCAAAGCACGTGTCAATGTTGTTCATCCACTGTTCAACTTGGTCCATTGCAAATTTTCAACACTTTAAAACCTTGGTCGAATAGTTGATTACCCATTTATCGCTGAAGCTGAGTGAAGAAAATATTAAAAAATTTTAATTTTTGAGAGCGTAGTAAATTTGTGTGTTGTATAAAACTATATCTGTATTTTTGAAACGTTTAAAATTTGACTATGTAGATCAACGTGTTGTTCAACGTATTATATGACCAAGGTGAATAGTGGATGAAGAGCATAATAATGGTATAAGCTTGCTATCTTAGATTTTCTCTCCTTTGGCAGCAATAAAAATTGATTTATTATCTTTTGTTTTCACTGGTGAGCATATAAGCTAATACTGTGATTAGCTTAAAAATATTTTTCTTAGTTTGATAACTTTTTTAAAACCAATATGGTATTTTTTTATCTTTTCTGGGGCAACCCTGACTCTGAATAAATTTAATCAATTTATTTTTCCAATTTTATTAACACTCTCATACAAATAATATAAAAAAACGGGTTTAATATGAAAACCCTGAGCGAGATGAAAAAATAAAAACCCCCAAGAATAATAAAAAATCTGATGTGGTCAGCACATAACCGACCGCATTGTATATTGTCTAGTTAAGTGAAACTGTTACAGAATATTATAAAAATGTCTTTTAAATATTTCTTTCCAATTTTTAGGACATTAGTAAGCTTATAGTTAACATACCCAGAAAAATGTAAATTAGGCTCTTAGTAGAGTTTCGCTTTGTGCTACCCAAATTCCCAGAAATGCTCGCCAGTTAACCAGAACTCAAATACTAAATTTCAAAAAATTCCATCAATTCGTTCCGTAGATATGGTGAAAAATATAAAATCGATCCGCAAATCAGTTTTCGAGCCCTGATCTTTCCAAAAAATTTACAAGTCCATTGTTTTAATACGAGGAATTCAAATATTAAATTTCATGAAATCGGTTGATTATTTCTCTTTATATACACAAAAATGTATATTTGGCCCGTAGTAAACGTCCAGTTGCTGATGCCTGATTTCTTCCAAAAGTTAGGAATTTTTGAATTTTCGCGTGAACACACAGACCGACAGACCGACAGGTTGCTAAAAATAGTTTACTTACACTTCCCTACTATGGAGAAGTGCATTCCCACCGAAAACTCGATATGCAAAATTTGTTGCCATCACATAACCTACCTATACCTACACAATACGGTCGGAAAAACAACTTGATTAAAAAATAACAGAATTATTTTTTGATAACGTTAATGTTTAAGTTATATAATCAAATTTATCAAATAATTTTTGATGAACAAAAAGGCTCAGGAATAATGCTTACCAAGTTAACTGAGGTAAAATTTAATTCAGTTTCGTGTATGGGACTTTTACTCAAATTCACTGAAAAAAAAATTTGTAAATTTCCGAGTATAATTTAAAAAAAAAAAAAAAGTGTAAAGAAAAGGGTTCTTTCGATGATGCAATATGCTTTAGCATTCGTAACTTTAAACTTAAGTAACTCAGACAACAGATAGACGCAGCTGTAAAAACTATAATTCTGATATTAGCTTAAAACAAGTAAAAACGTTTCAGTCGGTATAAACCGATTGAATTATACCCTGCACCTTTCGTTATTGAGTAGCAATTACTCGAACCTGTGAGATCATTCTATAGAAACTTCACGGACATGTCTGACCTAAAATTGGACATCCGACTGCCAAGTTTCATCAATCTGACCTTATAATTTTTCAAAATATTTAAAATTAGCTTTTGGAGTTGTATGGTAGGTACCTAAACCTGTTAAGCAATTCCATCAAAACTTCACAAATATATCTGATCTATAATCGGACATACAACTGCCAAGTTTCATGAATCTGACTTTATTATTTTTCCAAATATTAAGAATAAGCTTTTAGACTTGTATGGGATCTACTCGAACCTGTTAAGCAATTCCACCACAACTTCAGAAATATGTCTGACCCATAATTGGACATATGACTGCCAAGTTTCATGAATCTGACTTTATTATTTTTCCAAATATTAAGAATAAGCTTTTAGACTTGTATGGGAGCCACTCGAACCTGTCAAGCAATCGCACCAAAACTTTAGAAATATGTCTGACCCATAATTGGACACACGACTGCCAAGTCTCATGAATTTGACTTTATTATTTTTCCAAATATTTAAAATAAGCTTTTGGGGTTGTATGGCAAGTACCCGAACCTGTCAAGCAATTCCACTAAAACTTCACAAATATATCTGATCTATAATCGGACACACAACTGCCAAGTTTCATGAATCTGACTTTATTCTTTTTCCAAATATTTAAAATTAGCTTATGGAGTTGTGTGGCAGGTACCCGAACCTGTCAAGCAATTCCTCCAAAACTTCGGAAATATGTCTGACCCATAATTGGACACATGACTGCCAAGTTTCATGAATCTGACTTTATTATTTTTCCAAATATTAAGAATAAGCTTTTAGACTTGTATGGGAGCTACTCGAACCTGTCAAGCAATCGCACCAAAACTTTAGAAATATGTCTGACCCATAATTGGACACACGACTGCCAAGTCTCATGAATTTGACTTTATTATTTTTCCAAATATTTAAAATAAGCTTTTGGGGTTGTATGGCAAGTACCCGAACCTGTCAAGCAATTCCACTAAAACTTCACAAATATATCTGATCTATAATCGGACACACAACTGCCAAGTTTCATGAATCTGACTTTATTCTTTTTCCAAATATTTAAAATTAGCTTATGGAGTTGTATGGCAGGTACCCGAACCTGTCAAGCAATTCCTCCAAAACTTCGGAAATATATTTGACCTATAATTGGACACATGACTGCCAAGTTTCATGAATCTGACTTTATAATTTTGCCGAATATAAAAAATTTGCTGTTGGAGTTGTATGGCAGCCACCCGAACCGGTGCAGCTATCCCATTATAATTTTTAGAGCATGTGTAGAATATAATTGGACACATGTATACAAAATTTTATATTTATAGCTTTATTAGTTTTTGAAATATTTAAAATAAACTCTTGGAGTTGTATGGCAGCTACCCGAACCCGTTGTCCGACTTAGTCCAATAACAATAGGGTTCGTCCTTGCCACAAAAGAAAAAACTTGTGAAAGTTTGGTGTCGATTGCATTATTGGTTTTTGAGTTATCGTGCGATCGGACGGACGGACGGACGGACGGACGGACATGTCTAAATCGACGCAGAATTTTACGCTGAGCAAGAATATATATATATGTCCATACCGCAGATGACTCCTTCAAGTAGTTACAAACTCCATACCAAAGTTAATATACCCTTCACGAAGTGCAGGGTATAAAAAGGGTCATTTAGTTGTGAAAGTTCTACTCTTGTTATAATGTTTTTTAAATTTTGAAAAATGAAACCACATTAAATATTTTATTATTTTCAGTTCCCTGAAATATAAATTTAAATTTTTTATTAAAGTAATAACAAAATTTAAAAGAAATCTATTGCAATTAATATTGTAAATTCGACTTCAGTAAAATCAAAAACGTACAGTACTTTATTTTCAAACATAGACCCATTTAATGCTAAGTTAGAACTGAATTATCAAAAAGCTTTTAAAATTCATTACAGTTCAGGTTTACTTTGTTTTTCTTAACATTTTTTTTTCTACTGGCATCTCTTCACAATTTTACACAAAGTTTAGCAACTTACTTGTCAAAAGCTGTCAATTTTTATTTTAGTATAAACGTCACAAGAATACTCGCACTGATTTTCGTAATCTTTGACAGCAAGGGCTATTAAAACTACACCGTGCGTTTTTCAATAATCTGAATAAAAATTTATTTTATAACTAAATTTTAAAAAATGCTTTCAAGGGTTGCCCTTCTTTCCGGTAAGTTGGCTCTGGTAATATTTATTATCATAATTAATTACGAGAAGCAATCGATTATAATTTTTTTGTCATATTGTCAATTAAAAAAGTTTATGTAATCATTTTTCATGCTTTGAACCATAAAACAAAAATTTACTATATTCCTTATTTTCAGCCAAACGGCCCTTAGGATTAATTGCGACACGATATGCCAGTTCTGGCCCAGATTCCGAAAGGATGGTACGTCCCATTGAACCTGGCAAAGTTCGTTTGGGTTTCATTCCAGAAGAATGGTTCACCGCATTTTACAGCAAAACTGGTGTAACAGGTCCATATGTCTTTGGTGTCGGTTTACTCACTTACTTGTGTTCCAAAGAAATTTACGTTATGGAACATGAATTTTACAGTGGTTTATCACTTGCAATTATGGCAGTAATCGCTGTAAAAAAATTAGGTCCAGGCATAGCAGCATATTGTGATAAAGAAATCGATGTAAGTTTAAAAGACAGCAATGCAACATAATATTTTGTTGTAGAAAAATCTTGTAAAATTTAATTTTTCTTTTTTGATAACAAAAATTAAATAGAGGATTGAAGCTGAATGGTCTGACGGCCGAAAAGCTGAATTGCAAGCTCTAGCGGATGCTATTGAAGATGAAAAGAAAGAGCAATGGCGTGCTGAAGGTGCGCTGCAGTTGATGGATGCTAAGCGTGAAAATGTGGGCTTACAACTTGAAGCTGCTTATAGAGAACGCATCATGAACGTGTACAGAGAAGTATGCTTCAGTTTATTGTAATTTTAGTTTTTCTTAATTTAAGAACTTATTATATGTATGTAGGTTAAAAAACGTTTGGATTATCAAGTAGAATGCCGCCATGTCGAAAGACGTATCAGTCAAAAACATCTTGTACAGTGGGTTGTTGATAATGTTTTAAAATCGATTACTCCAGCGCAGGAAAAGGAAACTTTAAATAAATGTATTGCAGATTTAGGGGCATTGGCAAATCAAGCTAAAGTATAAGTTTTTAATTGTAATATTCAATTGTCTGATTAAAATTTAAATCAGTTCTTATAAAATAAAGCTATTATAAATCTATTTATTTTATGTGGGTGAACTTATGAACTTTTTTAATACATATAAGAAGAATCTGTATATATTCTTACTTCTCAGATATACATATGTACCTTCATTATGTAGGTTAACATATTTAAATTCCGTCTTACACATTTAACGTTAATGCCAAGATCGTTCTAACTCAAATATTTCAAAAATTGATTGATTTCACCTTTATCCTAAATATATGTTATTCATAAAATTCATAATGACAAAAAACTCAGCTGACATTTGACAAGTATATACACAACAAGATAATGTAGCAAAGAAATTACTCAGTAGTTAGAATTAGCTCTAAGGAAATAGTTACATATTTGTTGGAAAGTTATAAGTTTTATAGGTTCTCGATGACGTTGTTATATTATTATTTAACTATTTTTATATTATAATAAAACACTGTCTGAAAACTAAAAAATAAAATATTTTTGTATGTCTGTACATGCATGCTTGCATTTGTTCTTCAGAATTAAAAATAAACAATAAGAGAAAATGAAAATAAACAGAAAACGAAATTAGCTTATCTTAACGAAAATAAAATTAAAATTTTCCAAGCTGATAAATAGAATTGTAAATTTTTAGTAACTTGCTTGGACTTAAATCTCTATGCAGACACAAACGGGAATGGAGGCTACTGAACTTGACAAGGTTGAAAGTTTCATGTCATCAGGTGAAAAATATAGGTGAAACCAAATAGTTTGTTTTAAGTTTATTCTTAATTTTACTAAAGAAAAAAATTAATAGAAATGAGTGGAACTATTTGATAGCAAGTCTTGATCCCAATGTAGATCAATTGCGTCAATTAGCTTATAACGGTGATTTGAAAGTTTCAAAATTTCGCAGTGTTTGTTGGTCAGTACTTTTGAGGGTCCTGTCTTCTAATCCATTGGATTGGCTGGATCAAAGAGAACAACAACGAAGAAGGTAAAGAGAGAAACAGCGAAAAGTTATGCACTCCCTATAGTATTTAAAATTTTAATTGTAGGTATCAAAACTTAAAAGAAGAATTTGCAAAAAACCCTCATAACAACGTCTTAGTGAATGATAACCCTTTATCACAATCTAAGCAAGTAAGTCTTTAACACAAATTTTTTTGATTCCATAAAATCACATATTTATTTACGTACTTTTATTTTCAAACTTTCAAAGAGTTTATGGAATCAGTACTTCGGGGATCAGGAATTGTTTTCTATCATAAAACAAGATGTTGTGAGAACATTTCCTGGTGTAGATTTCTTTCGAAAGCCGTTTGTGCAAGATGCTATGACTAACATTTTGTTTTACTATGCTCGAGAACATCCTTATATGTCATATAGACAAGGAATGCACGAAATTTTGGCACCAATATTATTTGTGATGTTTTACGACCATCAATCTTTACTTCATTTCAAGGAACTTTCCGAAAATATTGAGTAAACAAAATCGAAATTTTTAACTATTTAATAATTTTTTTAATTTCAGCAATCTCTTAGCTACTGTTTTAAATCCGGATTTTTTGGAAGAAGATTGTTAGTAAGTGAATTTCAAACAAATAAATTGAATTATTTTTCATCTCATTAATTTCTAGTTCGATTTTTTCTCGGTTGATGTCTTCTATTGAATCTTATTATCGTATCGCAAATATGATACCGACAACTGAAGGGCATTTCCCTGCAGTTAATGTAGGCGATGATTTCAAGCAAACATCCGAAGTAGAAGTGATAGGTCAATTGAATTATATCAGAGAAAATATTTTACGTAAAGAAGATCCATATTTATACAATCATCTTCAAGAACTGGAAATTCCTTTACATTTGTTTGGGATGTTAGTTCGATTAATATAATGTAGCAAATATTAGTTCTTATTTTACATATTTTTTACTGTTACAGTCGTTGGTTACGTTTACTTTTTGGCCGCGAATTTCCATTACTTGATCTCTTAATGCTGTGGGATGCCATTTTCGCTGAAAGCGATAATTTTCAACTACCAAATTACATACTTGTTGCCATGCTTATTAGAATTAGGGATAAATGTATACTTTTCTTCATACTTAATAACCCAGTTAGTAATTTAAAGCATATAATTTCAGTAATTTTGAATGATTATACATCTTGCCTCACTTTACTGATGAGATACCCAAATAATATTGACATCGGACTGGTTTTACGTCACGCTTTATACATGTGCTTTCCAGCAGTAAGTATTATTAAGAGTAATATTTTAGAATTAATAAAATAATATATCATTTAAATTTGATCAGGACTTTGAACAACCGCACAATGCTTTTATCTACTTGCCCATTGAAAATGAAAATTCAAAGCAAAGGCAAAAAACACATTCCTATCAGTTTCCACAGTTTCGTCAGACTAATACACTGCCCAGAAAACAACAAAAGGCTCTTAAATCTTCTGTTAGTGAAGATAGTGTTTCGGTTGAAACAGAGACCTCGCGAAGGGATCGTTCGTCGTCTTTAACAATCAAGCGCAATAACACTGGTAGCCCAAAAAACAATGGAAACTCAGAAAGTCCAATACGACAAAATGACACTAATAATACAGTGGAAAAGTTACACCAAGCGAATATGGAAAATTTAATTCGTATAGAAAAATTCAAAGCTTCCAATAACGCTGCCGAAAATGTGATATTAGATGGTTATTCTGTAGGGGTAAAAAGCACTTTTTTCATTTTAAAATTTATTTAAACAATGTATTTTTAGAGTTCTGAGTATTTGCGACTACAGTTACAAAACGCTCAAACTATTATTAACGTTAGTCAGCTGAAATTAAAAAAATATTTGGAAACCTTACGTAAATATTCTCGTAATGGACCAGATGACTTATGTCAGGCTGTAGATGGAATCGGGGAGTTATGTGCCTTTCTTGATGTAAAAATTTTTACGCCTTCGTATATACAATTGCCTATAGATGCTGCGTTCGAAGCCAATGAAAATCAAATAAAAATTGAAAAAAGTAATATTTCTCCGGATTCTATTGCATCCCGTTCATCCAAATCAAAGTCTTCTTCCGTTTCTGCTGAATCTAAAAACAGTAATAAAGATAAAATTAAAAATTCTTCAATCAATAAAAGAAATTCAAACCTTACTGATGCTGAAATGAAAAGTGAATTCGTCAAAATACTAGAATCGACAAAACATCCCTACGAAATTGAAATCGGGAAAGATAGCAGTGTTATCGACTTTAAACAAAACACAAAAAGTGATTTACTCCAAACAATTCCAAGTTCATCAAATTCTACAGTTAAAGGCTGTACACGCTATGAAATACCTGAAACTTTCATGCAAAATACCTTAAAGATATTAGGAACTCGAAAAGACTTAGAACTGACAATATTCAGTGAAGGAAAAGGTTCGGAAAGTGAAGGAGGTTTGCCTAATATTGACCCACTTACTTTGACAAACAATATGAAAAAAAAAGAAAATACAATAACCGACTGAAATTTTTGTGTATAAATAATTTTTACCTGCAGATTATGTATTAATAAATTTTATGTTAAAAATAACATTTTTACTCTTACTAATAAAAAAGAAATTTGGTACTTTTATTTGATAATTCTTGTATATTTAAAATTCAATAAAAAAGAATTAAATTTAAAAAAAAAAGTCAATGGCAGCTGGTGTGATTCGAACACACTACCTCCCGAGTCGATTAAAAATCATTCGGGTGTGCAAACCATTACACCACAGCGCCTTCAATTTAATATCATAAAACTAGTGTATAAAAGTAATTAAACAAAAATAATTTTTAAGACTTTTCAATTTAAAATAGCAATAAATGTTTTTACTATTTACTTAACGTTAAGCTGAGCAACAGGTTTACAGAACCAATAAAATATATTGAGTTCTATTCTATATGATGTATTCAAATAAATGTTATATTAATTAATAATTAATAAAAGAGAATACCTTAGGTTATACGAATATTCCATAAAACTGTATTCGCAAAAAAAAAATTCCCACGCACAATTCTAGAAATAAAATTTCAACTAGTGTAAATTAATTCTATATTAATAAATGAACCAATATTAGGAGTGAAACATTAGAGAATACGATGATGTACAAACGATTAATGAGTTCCTATTAGTTCCAAAAGTTTTGTGAACTGCTCCAAATTTGTTTTTTTCAAACTGAATTTTTATGATTTAGTGTATGTGCAAAAATTTATTTTACTTTGGCTTAAAATGTTATTTGAGTTAAATGCTACATTACGAGTATGTACATACATATGTATTCAATAACATATTAGGGAAGTATCATTTAATGGTATTCTGGGTAAATATTAAGTCGCATTGAATCTCTTCGCGTGACATAACTCTTAGCTATGTTACTCTATAACTCTTAGGTGTTAGCGATTAGTTAAAGGACGAAACAACTTAAATTTTTTGGAAAAAAGACCTCTTCTTAAAAGTTGTTTAATGAAATACTCAATGGAAATAACAATGCTATAAAAAACTTTTTTATTTCCTTTATATTTATATATTTGAAAAAAAAAACATTATGTATATAAAAACAAAGAATGTTAAACACGCATACCGTTGATTACAATATCTTGATCGAATTAAAATCAAATAAAATAAAATAACGCTTATATTGATTCAACTTTCTGTCCAAGTTTTCAACTATTTCCATTAAGTTTGCTTTTAAAACTTGTTTAAAACTTTCTAAGATTTCTTTTTCCCAAACTTATTTCCATAATGGTGATAATTTTATATAATAATACATTAACGAATTTAAGAGTTTTTAGTTGATTCTTATTCAAAGATTAATTTGAAGTTCAAATGAATATTTCATATAAAACTTGGAGATTCAACTCGAACTCTTAGACTGAAAATTTTTTTTTTGTGATCGAAAACGAAAACGAACAAATCAAATGGTCGACCCTAATATGGGCAATGTACTTATAGATAATAGATTCAATAGATGTACTCAATTAAAAATCAGGGTATATACATACATACATATATACGTACATCCATAATGTAAATTTAAAAACTCAAAATTAAATAAAACGAAACGGAAAATAATAAATTTAAATTTACTGGCAAAAAACGTTTACTAGCAAAAAAAATAAAATAAAGGGCGTCCGGTGTGATTCGAACACACAATCTCCTGAATTTTATTTGAGGTGTGATTTACTAGAAAACACAACCTCAAGACGATACAGGTGTGTAACCATTACACCGCGGAGCCTTAGATATTTTAGTTAATAATTTAATCAATAAAAGTTTAAAAAATAACTCACTAAAAGATATAATAGATTATAATAACATATTTAAAATTTTAAATTAAATATGCATACATACATATATATTATATATACCTACATTACACATGTATAGAGTTCCCATATAGTTTTTTTTTTAAATGCGTACTTTTATGAGTGAAAGAGAATTCTACTTGAAATATATGTAACGTACATATTTTATAAAAAAGTGTATAATTTGATAAATGTACATGAAAAGTTTTTGTTTGAAAAATAAATATTTTTATACAAACAAAAATATGTATATATGTTAGTAAAAAGACAAAATAACTATTAAAAACATAAAAAATATTATTAATGAATCAAATATAACATACTTTTGTTTGATACTTCATAAACTTAGATGAAGTTATATTTTACATTTTAAAGTTATATTTTACAAATACCAACTCTTTAACGGTATTCATGATTAAGCCATTCCTATTATCAAATAATTATTTATTAATAAGGTAACATTGCTCTATTTAATCTAGAAAACTTCAAACTATGCAAAATTCTTTCATTGCAAACTACAAGCACAATTTTTTTAACAATGAGCTAAAATAAATGAGAGGGACTCTTTTTCTTATCAAAAAAGTGTAAAAAAGTGTATTCTTTGGAAAAAGAGTACAAAAAAGTTTTTTTCGCATCAAATAAAGTAAACATAATGTTAGGTGACGAATGGTATACATAAATTTCTGTATGAATTGAAAATTGTTGTACTTAGCATAAACTTCTGTAATAATAAAAAGATTGCTGCGTACATAGTTACTACATACACACACATGCATATGTTTATGTATATACATATGTACCTATTAAATAAGAATACATATATGTACATATAAGTATGACGTATGTACATATTTCGAAAATTCAACCAAAACTAGAAATAGTAATCAATGGTGGACTATTATGAAGTAATATGGAATATTATGAAAAGTAAAACCAGTATATCACTTAATAAGTAATTTCATTCTCGGTTTACAGAAAGCTACTGTTATGTTTTTAAACAAATTTGTTATGCAAACAATCATATATGAACAAATCGCTGTAGTTCATTGTTTCACCCTTAATATATCAAAAAGCTGAAGCCTGAGCCCATTCAATTAAAATTAAAAATAATTTATAAAATATCAGAAGCTAGAGACAAATATATCACTAATATATGTATATATTAGAAACTCATATTTCGATTTGAAGTTTTAACTATAATTTTGATTTAATTCTTAATTTAATTAAGAATAAAGTAATAATTTAAGCATTTGAATAATTCGCATGCGATAGCAACACCATTCTGAAGAACTTTTATGTCTGAGTCTCTAAAATCAAAATTCTTAACTCAAACGATTTCAACTTAAAGAAATTTGACTGTAATACATTTACTGGCTAGCTCAATTTTTTTCACCCCACCGCAGCATGAGAACCGAGTAGGTTAACAAATTTTTTTTTTGTTGTTTCTTATTCTATAATCTTATCAGCAGATTTTTTGTAATTTCAAGATCTGGTTTAAAAAATTTAACCGAACATAATTTATTTTGATTCAACACTTAGGCAACACTTAGTTGACGTTTATTTTGAAGTTTAAGAAATTCATTTTTTTCGAAGTATAAAGAAAAACATTGAATCAAAATTGAATTGCTATTTGCTTTCTTTCATTCTGCAGTTTTTGTATTTTATGTTTATTTACACAAATATCAAATACAAATTAATTTGTAATAATAATTTGTGTTGATCATAAAGTTCTATTAATTATTCTTTAAGATAATAATATTGTAATTTTTTATTAAGTTTATCATGCTGTTTTATCTGTGACACTTCAGAAAACGCGATGAAATGATTTTGTCAGCGATCGGATTTTTTATAATATTATTTGTCAATAATTTTAAATATATTTATTGCAACGGAAATGGGAACAAGATAGAAGGATTCGACCCTCTTGGACCCTTGGTAAATTTGTATTCTGTTCTATTTGTATTCGACCCTCTTGTTTGTATTCTGTATTAAATCTGTTTCATGTCATCATTTTTAATTGCAGGTGAAGTGCTCTTTTCTTCCGGATGAATTCGTTGAATGTAATGAGCCATACGATCATAAAGGGAATGTTAGTGCTAAAAATGAAACCGGTTATGGTTGCGTTAAATTTGGTGGAATATATTATGATGATGTCGAAAAAGCAAAAGTATTTGTTATTTTTACATTTCCTAATACAAAAATTCATATTCTTAAATCGAAAATATCTTAGGTGCTTTGTACAGTTTTACCTAATATAGAATGTTTTGGCAGTACAGAGTTCGATCGTGAAGGAGTTCCTTGTGTCAGATACACTGATCATTATTTTGTCACAACATTAATATATTCGATTTTGCTTGGATTTTTAGGTAGGCTAATAAAAAATTTTCGCTTGTTTCCCTAAAAAGAGTATGTCTTCCAGGTATGGATAGATTTTGCTTAGGGCAAACTGGGACAGCTGTTGGGAAATTATTAACTCTTGGGGGCTTAGGCATATGGTGGATTACAGATATTTTTTTACTATTAACAAACAATCTCCTACCAGAAGATGGCAGTAATTGGAATCCAAATGTTTAATATTTAAGTTACGCATGTGACAAAGTGTATATAAAATAACTTGTGTATATGTATTTTTTCTTTTATTTATGTTATGATTTGAAAATGTACATATGTATGTATTTGTTATAAGCCAAACTCTTAAAATAAAATTAAAATTCATTAATATTCGGTATAATTCCTCGTAATGACATAAAATATTTTAAAACAAAACCTTCATACAATAAATTAGTAGGATTTCTAATCATTTTAATAGATTATACGATTTTCTGTTTGTACAAAGTATACATACATACATGCATATTTTTGACTAATATGTATTTAAACTATGATTAATATCAGGGATTGCCGATAATTTTGTTATGCCAAGATAATAATTTCAATATTCAGGTTTACGTATGAATTTACACCACGGCTGCTGACAGAAATATGTCAAGATCTAAACTCTATGGCATTATGTAATTCAAAATAATGCTTTAAAACAATATAGTATACATATTAGGTTCGAAGTTTGCTACCAGTGTACGGTGGTGGGCATTCGTTTCGGAAATAAACGTAGTGATTGTACAAAAATTTTTTCCGCCTGAAAAAAAAAACAGAGTTTCCATTTTCATATTCTCGGAATAATCTATTGCCAAAAGAAATTTTGCCCGCCAAAAAATACTAAATTTTTTTTAAATTGACAGCTTTATATGTTGTATATTACATGTATTAGAATGAGCCGTTCTATTTTTATAAACAATGAATTTTTTAGTCATATCTACACACAAAAAAGAAAAAATGTTGATTTTGGATTATAAACGTGTGAAATTTAGAAAAAACAATTTGTGAATTCGTTTTGTTTATTGTTCTTTTAATTAAAAGTTTTTTGAAAAATAAAACCTTTTGAGTTCTGATATAACTAAGAAAAACATGATTTTATAAATTTTTAAAACACTACAAAACTAAAAAACTTCAAACATTCGGAAAACGATGACGTCATAATTTTCTCACATTTCTCAAAAAATATTATGTTTTTAAGCTTTTTTATACTGGGCAGACCTTTTATTTCACTTCCCATTTCTTTCTACTGTTGTGATTTTAATTTTTATGGTTCAATAATTAATTTTTTGCAAATATGTTTATAATTTCTTCATAAGTTTTTTGTATTTTAAGTTCCTTCAACACACTGGGTTTTATGTCAAAAAGCAAAAAAATGTTTTTCTCGTGAGCTTTTTTTTCACTTAACTTTTTTTTAATTCGAATTCTAAATCCAATAAATTACTATTCTTTCTTCTGCGACCAAATCTTCTCCCCCGCGGTTAAGTATTGCTTGTTATAGTTATAAATGTTAGTTGAGAAAGATAATAAAATTATTCTTAATAAATTTGCCAATTTAAAAATAGTTATTTAACATAAATGAATAACTTTAATTTTGCTTTAAACTTGATCAAATTTTATTTACTTCGAGTATTTTGTTAAGTATAAACTGTAAATAAAAACCATAGTAGACGATTAACATTAAACGTTCAAATATCACAGGTAGTTACGTTGGTACAACTTTATTTCATTGACACTCTTAATTTTGACAACTGTCATTTTTTTAGAACTTATTGACAATTGGATAAAAAAAAAATAACTACTCGAAGTGATATTTTGGTTAATATAAAATTTTATTTTTTAAGCTTTGTTATGCAAACACGAATATTTGCAAGTAAATAATATTAAAAATTATCAAAATTGATGTTTACGTAAAAAGAAGTTGTTATATTAAAATAAGTATTATGTTTACTCGTCCTCATTGTCGTGATTGGATGCCTTTGTTAACACAGCAACTTCGATTAAGAAATGTGATAAAAATTATAGGAGAAAATATTGAATGCACTCAAAATAAAGTGAGAACTCAATGCAAAATTTATTACACATTGCACCACAATTTGAATGGAGATCCCATTTATAGAAGCGAATTAACTACGCTTCTTGGAAATGGAAGTGCCAATTGGGCTGAAATTGATAGCGATTTATTTAATAAAATACCTTGTCGTAGTATATGTGTCAAAGTGTGGCAGAAATCATTGGAACAAATCGAATGGAAAAATAATGCATACTCTGAAGAGGATTCAAACACAAGTGTATTGGAGAAGTGTGAGGATGAAATGCTTTTTGTCTGGGGGGTAAATTTTTCAGGCCTGATTTTAATAAAACGATCTGAATACAAATTTAAACCAAATACACTATTATTTCAAATTCACGGTAGTTATTTTACATCACCCAATAAAATTACATTAGTAAAAACTAAAGTTGAAACAATAAGTCAAGTACGACAAGATAATGTCGGAAATATAAACTCAAGAAAACAATTCCATGTATATAGAAATTATGATTCTACTTCTAATTATTTAGGGAATAAAAATTTTAAAAATGAATTAACATACGGTAGTGATGATTCACTTTTAAATAGAAACTGTGATATTAGAAATTCTAGCGATAATATACATAACACGCTTTTACCCAATTTGAGCAGTAGTCTTGGCATACAAACCACTCATAGTTTTCACGAGGCTGTTACGTTAGCTGGAAAAAGAAGATACACTAACTTATCAGAGGAAAACATAGCAAGTAGTAATGATCCTGGCAGTATTGAAGATAAAGTCAAAGAATTTGTAGAGGAATTAAAAGTTCGTCATTTTTCATTCAGCTTCTATTTAAACGAAACTCGTTCTAGTTACAATTTGGAGAAATTGTTAGAAATTCAAAAACAACAACGAAAATCAAAACTTTGTTTAAAAGATTTAAAAGAAATTAGTGAACATATCTATTTAAGGAGCGCTAATTGTATTAGTCTACAGTTGGTAGCCAATATAAAACCAGGAGCAATTTATCACAACTATAACAAGTCTAAAAGCTCGCATTCGATGGGAAGAACCTTAAACCGTTTATTATTTCAAGAGGCTGAAATAAAACCTGAGGACGTTTTGAAAGCGCAAGGTCTTAAAAAGAAGATAGAAAATGCAAAATTTCGAATACAAATTTTAAAAGAAGAAAAGCTTCGCCTGCATAACAACCATAAAAAATTAGAAAAAAAATTATCTGAGTTAAGTGACAAAAATGTAGAAATGGGATCTTGGTTAATGTCTAGATATAGAAATTTAAGTAAAGAAAAAGAACACTTACTTAAAGAAAGTCTTGACACTGTTCTTGAAAAAAGGACAACATTATTAAAGACTCAAGCAATGTTGCGTCAAGTGAAATCTCAGTTTTGTGATGAATTGAGAGAAATATTCCAAATCGAAAAAAAAACATCGAACAAATATACAATATGCAAAATTTACTTACCAAATACAGATGAATTATGTGACGCAGGGCACCCACAAGATTCAATATTTGTTGTAGTTCCTATATCATTGAGTTCGGCGCTTGGTTATGTTGCACATGTTGTGCAAATGTGTTCCGTTGTATTAAATATTCCATTACGAAATCACATTAAATGCGAAGGTTCGAGATCAAAAATTTATGACAATATCAAAGAATTACCAAATAATTCAAGAGAATTTCCGCTTTATACTAGAACTTATCCTCCTCCAAAATCGGTTTTATATGCTATTTACTTACTTAATCAAAATATAGGTCAGTTAAATTTACAAAGTAATGGAATTGAGCACTGCGATCCACGTGCAACTTTAGAAAACTTATTACAATTATTAAATGGACCCAGAAATATGGGCAATTTTCTTTTACAGTTACCTAATTCCGAACAAAATAATGAAAGTATTCATAATTCGAAACAATTAAAGTCTGCATCATCAACCGACTTAAATTTAGTTGCTATATCATCTGGAATTGCCAGTAAATCTGTTGATGTTGCAGATTACATTATAAGAAGTCCTTCAAATATTAATTCTATTGGAAATGATCAGCGAATATCACGTTCAGTTGGAAGTTACTCAGATGAAAATTTATCTGATACGAGTGATAAAATATTTTATAATTCAGAGCCAAATCTAACGACGCATTCAATTGCTGTTCATTTGGAAAATTTTGCGAAAAATGAAAATTTTTAAATAGAATTTAATCAAATCATAATTAAACAAAATATTTAGAAATTTTATACCCAGATTACAGAATATTTTAAGTAATAATTTATAAAATTGCATTATATTAAATTTCTAATATATTTCTTTGTTGTTTTTAATCTAATTGGCATCAAATTTTAAGTTCAAAATATATTTATAAAAAATAAAATTGTTCGCAAAATTTAATTTATAATTCTCATTTTGTATGTACAAAAACTTAATTTTTTTAAAATAAAAAACACTTTAACTTTAGTGCTCAAAAAAGACACTAACTAAAATTTTCTATTCTGTACTAAAATTAAAGTTTAGTGTGGACGCGAGCCATTTTTTATACGTGTTGCACTCATAACTATAGATGACTATGCCTATAATACAGAAATATCTCGAAGAAAACTTACAATGTAATACAGATTCGCCCATATTCATTATGAAAAGTATGTTATCATATTAAAAGTTCATATATGTAGATATCAAAAAAGTACAATCATTAACTGCATACAGGTACTGTATATTAGTAGATCCGTACTGAGAGAAATATTTTAGGGGATTCATTTATTTTCTTAATTGAATATAATATGAGAGTACTAAAAATTTTATAAGATTTTTTTTACATTTGTACACTCAAGAATTCCTTATTTTCATATTTTACAAGCAAAAATGAAATAATTTAATTATATTCTAAATATAAATTTTTATGCAAGATTAATATTAACGGTACAGTTAAATGTATTATCTGCCACTTGCTGCATCAAGTCAGGATGGCCGAGTGGTCTAAGGCGCTGCGTTCAGGTCGCAGTCCACTCTTGTGGGCGTGGGTTCGAATCCCACTTCTGACATTAGTTTGAAAAAATTTTTGGAGAAATTAAAAAAAAATTATTTATTTATCATTGTTTTTAATGCATGTTACAATTAAAATGGGAGGAAATTGTTTGAAACAGTCAGAGAATAATTAAAAGATACTGTAATGATGATATTGACAATACTCCTCTAATTTACATACATACTTTATTCTTGCCTTCTTTTTTGGTAAGAATGTGTTTGTATATTATATTAAAGAATGAATAATATTTAAGATTGAGTAAATTAATTTAGTCTGGAAACTGAGACAAGCAATTGCTTTGTTATTTCGTTCAGAAAACTGAATTTTGAAACTTAGGCAATTCAACCTAAAAATTTTTATTTTAAATGTTTCATACTTTTAATATTTAAAATTAGTTTGGGATGGCTTCTCAAAAAATAAAAAAATTTGGAGTTTTTGATATATTTTATTTTTAGTTGTATTTTTTTCAAAATTTACAATACATTTTTCTGGTTTTCTTCTTATTCGTATATCTAATATCAATAAAATTTAAATTTTTTCCTTTTATTTAAACATTAACAATTAAATAATGTAATCTTCTAACAATATGTTATTGATATTTAGTAGTTTCATGGTTTTGTTTTATTTTATTGAAAATACAATTTCTTATTTGTTTTACATTTGCTGCAATATATAATTTTTTTTTTATAAATAATAGAGATTTTTTCTTTTATCTCACAAAGATACAAATAATAATCAATAAAAAATTGTATTATTTCAAAATCAATTATTTACATTAATACATTGTGAATTTGTTCAAAAAAATTTTACATTTACATATATAAATACTAAACTAAAAAGAGAAAATAAACACTGCTTTTAGAAATATTCAAACATTGTAGATTTTTTGTTTTAACTGGGATTGGATCTTAAGAAACCTCATTTAAAATAAAATTCCTTCTGTTAAAGAACAATTTATTCCACGGCACTGTAAAAGAAAAAAAAATTATATATGTAAATATATTTCAAAAGTAAAATCTACTAGTATTCAAATAAGTAAAGAAAATAGTTCTGCGGTATATCTGAATAACTTCCAAGAGAACTGAACATTTATCCATTTTTTTAATTCCATATCACCGCTTCCTCAAAAACTTTGTGAAATAATGTTAACATATTATTTCATTATAGAACTCAGGGTTTATTTAATTATATTTTACTACATTGTGATTATTTTGAAAGGTGGGATTTATAATACATTAATTTACCGAATCCCTTAATTTAATTTAATATATTATTCGGATTGATGAATAATTAATATAATTAAAATTATCAACTTAATCTTCATTAACTGATATTTTTATAACTACACAATATGTTGGTAGTTGATGAGTTTTTTTTTGTTTTTCGTATGACAACTGATTGAATACATGACAGAATTTGTATGAATTCTTCTCAAAGTTTACTAAGGTTCAATAGAAACAAAAAACTTAAATAGAAACTTTTCAAAAATGATTTGAAATAAAAAATTAGACCTCGCGCAATAAAATTTTAACAATATTATTTTTAATTTTAGCTGATACAGTCTTATCAAACTCATAAAAAATAAACAAAATTAATAAAAATTATTTTAATCTTTAATGACATAAACAATTTTCATTTAAGTGCAAGTATTGATTGAATGAAAACAATGAAACGGTTTAAATTTAACTTAATCAATTATTAATTTGAGAAAAAATCAATATGAAGGTTCAGTTAATGTTAATAGGAAATTCTTTCAGTTTCATGATATAATTTGTTTATGTTTTCTTTATTTAATTTTTAATTTTGGCCTTGAAGAGTTAGTTTTCAATAATGTATTTCGATAACTACTTTTCCAAACTCATTTTTTTAATTATCAAAAAAAGCATACAGAATTCTCATTGTGTTGGTAAATCCAGATCCTTGTTTCCATCCAGTTACTACGACAACATTGTCTCCTGTATTGATAAATCCATTGTTTTTGCCTATTTGTAAACCATACTTAACACGAGCATCAACATCCTTGAGCCAGTCAGACAATGGACCCTCTAAAAAACGTAAAACGGAAAAATTATAACACACCGAAAAGTATAAAAATTAAATATACTTACCAGTATAGATGACTGGAACAATGCCTCTATATAAATGAGCTTGTCTTGCTGTTTGAGGATAACGGGTTACAGCGATTATTGGACAACGTGGCCTATATTTTGAAACTAAATGTGCTGAATGACCACTTGTTGTAATAACAACAATAGCAGCAGATTGACTTTTTGTTGCAGCTTCAACTGCTGCAATTGCAACAGAATGGGTTGCATCTAATGAAGGTGGGTTTAGAGAAACTAAGTCATTGAATAAACTCTTGTGCCACAATGCTGCTTCAGCTTCTTTGCATGTTTTAGCCATTGTTAATACACACTCCAATGGATATTCTCCTTTTGCAGTTTCACCGGACAACATAACACAATCTGCTCCATCGAGAATAGCATTGGCTACATCAGAGATTTCTGCACGTGTTGGTCTAGGTTTTTTGATCATAGATTCTAACATTTGTGTTGCACAAATAACAGGCTTTCCAGCTTTATTGCAGCGTGAAATTATTGCCTTTTGGGCCAAAAATACTTTTTCTGGTGGAATTTCGATACCCAAGTCTCCACGTGCTACCATAACACCATCAGATGCAGCAATAATTTCATCCAAATTGTGCATACCTTGTTGATTTTCAACTTTTGAAATTACTTTGATATTTTTACCAGCATCACCCAAAACTTGTCGAATTTCATGCAAAGCTTGAGCATTTCGAATAAATGAAGCAAAAATCATATCAACTCCTAAAAAATAAACTTTGATTTAAAAAATACTTAACATCAATGTTTTTATTCTATTAACCTTGTTCAACACCAAATTTCAAGTCACTTTTATCTTTTTCTGAAACAGCTGGCAAATCAACTGGAACACCAGGTAAATTAACACCTTTACGAGAACCCAACATTCCACCATTTTCAATTGTGCATGTAAGTGTATCACCTTGAACTTCCTTGACAATCAAAGATATTAAACCATCATCAACGAAAACACGATTTCCAGGCTTGACTACATTAACAATATTGACATAATCAACGTAAACTAAATCTTTGTTTCCCTTTTCTAGATAATCTTTATTTGTTGACAATTTAATGGTATCCCCCTTTTTCAATTCAATTTCAGCTGATCCACTGCCGTCGATAAGACCAGTACGAATTTCAGGGCCTTTTGTATCCAATGCAATTGCTAATGGATATTGAATACCCAATTTTGCTGAATAGTTCTTTACTGCTTCACGAATATTTTTGATGGTATTTCCATGATATTCATAAGAACCATGTGAAAAATTCAAACGGGCAATATTCATGCCTGTCGCCATCATTTTTTCAAGCATATTAACATCAACAGATGCCGGTCCAATTGTGCAAATGATGCCAGATAATCGAACATGTGGTACCGCTGAATCGAAATCCAAACGGCACATATGTTCCAAATGATTTTCAGCTTCACCAGCCTTCATTTGTGGAACTTGGCTCATCTACCAAAAACAAAAAAGAAAAAGTAAATAAATGTAGTATGAATATACATACATATGTATATATGTATGTACATTTACTTCTACCCAAATTATGGTGGAATTTTAAAAAATGTTTCCAATTGTTTTAAAAACTTTACCAATGTAATAAATTCTGTTTTATGAATTTTTTAAAAGTAATTTTGAAAATTTATTATAGGCTAACTAATTGTGTACTGCGCTAGAGAATGAACGAAAATGTAAATTTTTATAAAAATCACATGAAATTATGATTATTAATAAATCATCCGATATTCTAAGCTGAGATTGAAAGCTCAAAACCAAAACTGATAATTATTATCAATGCAATTGTAACATTTTTTTTTTTTTTGGAATTTTACGTAAAGCAAAAAATATTAAAAATATTTTAGAAATATTTTAAATGAAATTGGCATATGCAATTTCTATTTAATAATATGAATGTGCATGTGCACATATATTTAGTTCTATATGTGGTGCATAGGTAATGCATTTATGTAAATAAATTTATAACAAACTTAAATAGAGCACACGTAACTATTTGAATATGTAAGTATATAAGTATGTACATAAGTCGGTAAAAAAATCTAGAAAGCTTAATTTAAATGTTCATGAAAAAAAAGCTACATATGTATGTATGTATATATCTTTCGATATACGATTTTTATATATACATACATATGTACGTGCACATGCATTTACAAAAAAAAAATAAAAATGTACTTTGTGTTCTTGAATTTTTCATTTGCTTCTATCTAGCTGTATATACTATGCACGTTAATAGATAGTGTTTATTAACAGTATGCAACTAAACTCATCATGTGCATTAATTAAGTATGTGTATAGGATATTGAAATTTTTATTATGTCACATAAGTGTAAGCATGTTAGTATGCATTTCAATTCAATTTATTTTTAGAGTCAAAAAAAAAAAAACAAATAATGTGTTAGTAGGAAATTCATAGGAAAATTGGTAATCGTATTATATATTATATATACGTATGTTTATAAATGCTTATTTATTTCTTAAGTATGTTTTTGTAAAGTGTAACGTATACCTACATAATGTGTGTACATAAAAAGTCGGCAAAACTTAAAACTACAAATATTTTTCCTTCTTGTTATTAATATTTCGGTAAAATGTACAAAATACTATGTATGTAGTTGATTAAATTTTTTCAATAATTTGTATTTCTTATTAATTTCAATATTATACAGTAATAATACATAATTATTATGAACTTATTCATTATGTTCTTTTATTAAAACCAATATAACAAGGGTTTATGGGGAAAACCGTCTATGCGACATAAATTTTAAAATACTTAGCAATTGATGGAAAGAATCCACCAAATTAATATGTATTACATATGTACATACTTTGTACTTTTGTGAAATGAAGTATCTTTAATAATAAGTAATATTAGAAAGATAAGGTAAATATGCGAATTTTTTGTCCTAATCATTCAATTGATGATTATCCATATTTTAATGAAGCATATAAATTATGTGTTTACCAATGTATGTATGTATGTATGTACAAATACCTACTTGTTTGCATTTAATAATATGAATTGACTAATACAATTTACTTGTGATAAAAAATATAAAAGAAAAACAAAATCCACGTAAAATGGAAATAATACATGATTATTTTGAAATTTTTCTTGTTAAAAGAAATTATGAATAAAATTTTCTATTAGTTAGATACATACATACATATATGTATATATAATTTTAAAACTCGAATAAAAAATATTGAAGCCTGTCATAGTTTTTATCATTCACATTTTTATGAACTTATGACTAATTTTATGTGTCATAATTAAAAAATGAACTGTCAAAAATAGTTGCCGTTGTGCTTTGTAATTTTGCGTTGCAAAAAAAGTTGGTGTCATCATTACAAAAAAATTATACATCTGTTTATCATTCACTCATTTTTTTTAGCGAAGGGTAAAGAAAAAATTAGTGAATTTGTCTTTCACTCATTTTCTGTTTCATTAATTTTTATTTGTAACAATAATGACAGAATTATAAACAAGAAAGTCTCATCATGCGAAAAAAAATAGGTGTTTTTCGTATAAAACTTTAAAAATTTTAAAAAGACAAAATAGTGACGTCATTTTTCGCAAAAAGGAAAAATATTTATTCTCAATATTTGAAAAAAAAATAAACCAGGCCGAAAGTTGAAAAAACTTTAAAAAACTTTTGTGAAATAGGTTAAAAACGTCAAATTTCAAAATATTTATCAAACGTAAACAAATTTTTTTTGGTTATAAAAAAAAGCGAAAAGTTTGATTTGAGATTATAAAAGCATAAAATTTAGAAAAAATCATTTATGAATCCATCTTGCATATTTTACTTTTAATTAAAAGGATTAAAAAAAACTAATAATTATTGAGGTTTTTTGAAAAATGAAACCTTCTGATTTAACCAAAAAAACTCTATTTTTTGACAGTTTAAGATTTGAAAAGTTTTTAAAACACTAAATTTTACTTTGCAAATTTTAAAAAAACTTTAAGCATTGAGAAAATTGTGACGTCATAATTTTTGCTCAAAAAATATTAAGTATACCAGACCTGTTGTATACTAAAACCTTTTTAAATTTTGCCAAGTTTTATAAGATTTTAAAATCTTTCTTTTACCATACAAACCCTGTATTTCACTTTTAAATTATTTAACATGTTTAAAATATTTAAAAATTTACCTACTTTACTGAATTTTTAAAAAGAATTAGATCTGGATATTCTAGAATTTTCAAAATTTTTACTTAAAAACTAATTATTTAATTATTTTGTTTTACATACACATATTTATATATGAAAGTACATTCACAAATATTTTATGTTTATATATTAGGTATTTTTATCTCGAGTCTTTAAATGTGTCTTAATGAGAACAATATAATAGAATATAAATAAAATTTGATTTTTAATTTTCTATTAGCAATCTCAATTTATGTATTTAATTTCAATTAGTTACAGGCAACCTTTTTTTACATTAGGAATAGTATAATAGCTATTATTATACCAAAGCTAAATGAAGTTCAAAGTCATTTTTATTTTACGTTTCAAATGCCTCCAATATATCATATATAGGTATGTACATATATATTTTAAATTTATGTAATGATTTGTTGTTTGTAATTTGATAAGCGAAAAATTTTCAGCAGAAATTTATACTTATTGGCATTAAAATAAGTATGTATTTGTATTGTGCAAAATACTTATGTACGTACTGAGTTTTTTTTAAATACATACATACATATGTATACAAATAACTTACATTGCGAGAACAAGAACTTATTCTATGTAAAAAAAGTTACTTCAATTAGTTCATTAGTGGAAATTTGCTTTACAAAAATGTAGTGTAAAGCGTAATTTCAAAAATGACATTTAAATTGTCTATCTTTTCAAACATTTCCCGAACTAATAAATAAAAAATTTTAATATATTGCAAATATTTTAATAACACTTTTTTTTTTGTAAAGATATATCAAGCTGCGAAAAACCCTAATGATTCTTATTTTATAATTAATGTTTCATGAAAAGTATAAAATACACGCAACAATGCGGGACTAAATATAAAAATGTGCAATTGCAACATTTTTTGTAAATTTACATGAGTAAATATCAACATTAAATTGCTATTTAAGAAATTCTTTAAGTCATTTATTTATTTATTTATATACATACATACATATCTATATGTAATCTCTCTAATTTCTATTGAAATTTAGAATTAACAGCCAGTAAAAAACCAAGAGGTGAATCAGTTCAGTCAAGCCGAATATTCGCTCTTCTCAAAAAACGAGATAAAGATTTATGATAGGGCTCATGAATTTCGTTTGTAGTTATGAATTTCATATTCTCAATTTCGATTACTAACATTCTACTACGTTCGTAGTAAACGTAACTCTCAAAAATCTACGAAAAAATAATCACACGTAACAAGCAATTTAGAGAGGGTGTTTGTTTTAAACTTCAAAGTTTTTAATTTTTTTTGTCTAAATTTGAGTTTTTCGAGTTTAAATTTGATGAAAGGAAATGAATTTGTATTACCTAAAAAAAATTTTTTTGACTTTTCAAAAACACTCAAAAACAAAAAAAAAACAACTACAAAATTCCGTTTTTAAAATATATCTTGCTTTATGAAAGTTGTGTACTCAAATAGCTAAAAAAAACATAAATAAATATTTGATATTTGACAGTTGAAATAAAATACTGATTTTGACACTCCGAAAAATTGTGTTGCCATTGCTGCTTCATAATCTTTACGAAAGGAATTTGTGACCACAAAAGTCTACGTCGTAACTAAATTCGCCATTCGTAGAATTCTACGAGTGAAATTCATGATAGGGTTGAATATTATAATTTTATTTATTTTAATAGGAAGAGGAAATCTCAGAGACTAGTGATGAAAAATAAAATAATTTTTATTTTTTGAGGTAAATTCATTGTGGATAATTATGAAGCAAATTTTTAATAATATGAATAAGTATATGTATGTACACATGAAAGTGCAAATAACCTCGACTTACATATGGTATTAATACATAATTTAGTAATTCTCACTTATAAGCTGAATTTTGCATTAATACCGTATTACTGCATTTTGGAGTCAAGGTAATATAAATTTTGTCATAAAAGGCAAAAAACAAAATTGAAATATTTACTAACTATTTTAATCTCTAATAATTATTCATAAATATTATTAGGAAAAACTTGTGTATACTTGATCGAAATCATGAGAATCATCGTATCACTCAAAAATTTTACATATATTATAAATGCACTTATCATACAAAACGTTTGAAATTTGAGAATTAATATTTTATGCCTGTGAAAGGATAACCTTCATTTTGTATTTACTTAGCATTTGACTTTTGAAACTTGAGCCAAACTAAAACAAACTTTGGCTCTCGTTTAATATAACTTTAATAAAATATTAGATATACCTAATAGGAATAAACAATCTTTATGCTGATAACAAAAATTTGAACAAAGTCAACCAAGGGTGAATCTACATACATTAAATGGGTATGTACCTATGTGTATATACAATAATTTATGCTAAATATATAGGTAGGTAACAAGTTTAAAAACAAAATGCATAGTTATGTACATAATTGCATAGACTATGGTATAATTCGTAAAAAATTAAAAAAACTGAAATGGCTATCTTTATTTATATGAATTCTATGTATTTAAATACCTTCATTATTTCAATTATTAACATTTTACATTATGTTAATTAATGAATATTTAGGGAGGTAGGTACATAATAATGCAGGCTCGCCTTATTTATCTCTACTTGCTAATATATTATATCAATGTACCTATATTTTATTATACAGGTAAGTATAATAACCATATTGTTTTTGTTTATTTGTATAACATATTAATACAACGATTGTACAATATTTAGCAATTAATTAATTTATTTTACCAATATTTTTAAAAAAATGTACATATTAAAAAATACAATACGCAACCAATAGAAATATACCAATATCTACATTATGTTTATAAGTCGATATATGTATGTACTTAGTTCTCTAGACAGTATAAATTATAGTTTTTAATAATTAAATTAATGAAACTGATAAAAAAAATATAATATTTAATTTATAATTTTTAATTTTAGCATTAATTTATTAAGTTTTCTTTTAAACATTTGACATAGTATTATGAATGCCCTTGCTCAAGGACACACGTTTAATTTATCATTTATATATATATGTACATACCTACTATATATAAATAAACGATTAGCTACAGATGTATATACATAATATTAATATAGATACACATTTATATATATAAATATTATACATATAAAATAGATATATATATACAAAATCTAGAACATTATGTATAAATTTTCATAAAAAAAAAATATTTTCAGATAAAACGTTGATTGTATCCAATTCGATAAATGCATAACACTACAAAAACAAACAAATATATGTATGTACTTATGTACATAAATAGATTTCGGTCACAAATGAAAATTAAAGCTTTCAAATCTTCATAAAAACAGATAGCACCTACATTTAATAATATTATATGTATGCATAAAAACTACCTAAATACTTAAGTGTATTGTTGTGTAATAAAAAAATATTTAATTAGTTATGGGTCCAATATGTAAATAATAATGTAAATTTAACTATTTTCTCTAAATGAAAATGTAGGGAATATATCTCTACTCTATACATACCAGCTTTAAATACCTAAATATGCGTGAACATACATACATACATACATTTTTTTTTTTTTTGAAAAAATTAAAATTTTGGAAATTTTAATAATTTCAAAATATGACATACATACATACGTATGCCAAAAAGAAATTCATGAAGTTTTAATGTCATTCAAAAGGACATTCATTAGAACTTTTTTGCTTTCTATAGCACATATCATATACATCCATACATATGCATATATACACACATATATGTATATGTATATACACCATGCAAACTTATGAATGATTATGAATATATCGTATGTACAGACATATTAACTTATGTACACTCTAAAGAAAATTTTCATTACCGTTTTTCCTTTTTCATCATGTACTGTTACGTAAACCATCCTGATAGAATTACTTTTATAAAATTTCCTTTTACTAAATAATCCCAAAAATAATTTTATATCACTATGCGAAAAAATTCGATACGCACTTTTTATTAAAATTATTGAAAAAATATTTACAATTTTTTCTAGAAATTAAAAATTTAATTTCTTTTGTTGGAAATTATTTTATTTTATTACTGCTTTTGTAAAAACAAAATTTTTTTAACAAAGTAGTAAAGAAAAATTGCTAGAACCAATTTTAAAGAAAATTTTTTCTAAATAAGTACAGACAGAAAAATTTTCCTCGAAATTTTTCTGTAATACAAATTTCTTTACTTTTTCTTTTTTTGAACCGACCGAACCGCTGACAGTAGAGAACTAATTCGGATAAAATAAAATTTGGAAAAGTTTTCTTTAAGATTTTAGCAATCATATGTTCGTTTGTTTGTCGTTTTTTTTTCTTTTTTTTTTGTATATTTTCCAACGTTCTATTATTTAATTCTTGTTGACCCGGTATATATGTATGTATATGTAAGTACATTATATTTATATATATATATATATATATATATGTACAAATAGTACGTTAAATTCTGTATTTATTTGTTTTGTTTAACATCTCAGAGTAATTTTTTATGAATAGATATACATATGTATATTGTATACGCAAACATAAACACAGCAAAATAAATAATAAAGTTTAAAATAACTCTAAAATAGTTTTCTATTTTCTAAAGCATTTGAGAATAACTCAAGAATCAAGAGAATTTTTAAGAAATACTTTTTCACAAGTCACAACAGTAAATATTAAGTTTAAAAATATTATTTTGATCGGTACATACTATTCATATTTATTGTTTAGAAACGGTATGTACCAGTCAAAATGGATAATATGAATAACAAAAGTCAAAAATCGTGTTACCATATTTTTCAAATGAGCTGATGTTCGTTAAAATTTCGATGGCAATTTTTACTTAAAAGTTTATTCAGTAAATCACTCTATTCAGTATTCCGTTTATGCTACAAGTAACATTTTTCTTTATAACCCAAAAAAAAGGTTGTAAAGAAAAATTGATATAGTGTAATACCGAAACCGCTGCTGCACAATAGCTTTGGACCAGAATTTCCAATTTGGTTTTGTATTTTAAAAGTTGGTTTTCATTGTTTTTTAGGTTTTATCGACGTCAAATATTAATTATAAATTTGATATGCAAATTTGGCAATGTGGGAACCTTTTTTACGAACGGAAGATACTGCGTCCATTTACAATGTTGTAAACAAATTCTATTGAAAAATAATATTTCCAATTGAAACTTTTTCCAAATTTGTTAATTTTTATTATTCTTCATTCGTATAATTTCATTCCCTTATTTTTTTATGTCAGTATTCAATAAATTTTTATTTTGAAAATTGATTGTTTCACTTTTACAATATTTTTATTATTACAAGACTAAAATCGAAGTATGCGAAATCAGTTTTTGTTTGAGTTGTCAGTAAATATTTTTATATTTATGTTGAACTTTCATTTAGCTTAATTTTTAATTCCTTCTTCATTTGTTATTAATTTAATCAATTACATATTGAAATAATATAACAAATTGGTATTTACTAAAATTGCAATTATTTTTCGTATAATTTAAATGTATTTCTTATCATATTATACGTAGTATGTAACTAATTATTTTTGTAATAATGTGTTTCTACATACTATATTATATTTTCATTATTGAATTAAAGCTACTTTATATAGATTTTGCGCGTTCAAATTTTTGTACTTTAATAATATGACGTCACCAAAATTCTCAAAAGTAGGTATTTAAGCTTTTCAGTTTTTAAAAAATTATTACTATGTGTGAAATCATTTTTTACTATATCACCGTAATTATTTTAATTTTCTTATTATACCGGACACATATTTTCTCGTGACATTTAAATATCGAAAAATTTTTGGAAACTATGTCCTTAATTAAAGGCGGAAAAATATTTGTATAGAAATATGACGTGCATGTAGTAGGTTTTTAAATTATTGCATGTACACCTCATTTACTTGTATAAGGTACGATTTTGTTTTTTAATTGTATTCCCTTTGTAGTTTAATTTTCATTTATGAAAAATGAAAGTGAAGTGTAAATAGCGAAAAGAAAAATCATTGTAATTTACTTTTCTTATAATGTTTGCACTTCAAAAATTTAAATGTCTATTATTACATTATTCAAAGATTTAACCTCTAGCTTAAAAGTTGCTGAAAATATATATGTACTAACAATCATTTGCAAAATTACTCCAGATAGTAGAAAATTAGCTGAGAATAGAGATAGTCTTTGACGTAACTTAGTTTACTCTTTATACAAATTCTTTGATTGTATTCAAGAGTGGCGAATTCAAGAGAGAGATTTCAATCATTTGTAGCATAATAATTATACGTTGTGAAGATAGCAGCATTATTTTACGATATTATCAATACCTTCATATGAGTTTACTATGGTAGCACTGTTTTCAAAACTTCAAAATCAAGTTTTATAAATTATGACGTGTTTATGTTGAAGTACATTTTCCAATAATTTGGATAGAAATGAATATTTTTTGTTTGAAGTTTAGAAAATATCTTTCAAATTTTCAATTAGTAAATAATAAACTAAGAAAAAAGTGCAGTTATACTATTAGAAATTTAAAAAAAGATTTAAGTACATATATACATATGTACATACATTATGTCTTAACTACATGCATACATTATATTGACGTGTATAATGAGTTTCTCAGGTTTTTTGTAATTTTTTGTACTTAAATAGCTTAATTTATTTAAGATTATAACAAAAATATCTTTCTTAAGCAGTTAGAATGTATTCAGACGGTGTTAACCGTGTTTTAAAACAAATACTTTTATTGCCAAATCGGTACACTTTTTAATAACTGTTAAAGCAGAACATTTACATTATTTGAATTGATCTATTCTATAATATGTACATATTTGTAAAAGAAGATGGGCATATTTTCATATAAAGATAATAATAACATTATTAAATAGCAAGTATAAGCATATGTATATTTAATTGTATATATTACTATATAAAGTTAAGCAGCTGCCTACATGTAAATACATGCATATTGTATTAATCACATACATGCAAATGTTATTAACCTTTTTCCGTTTTATTTACATATTTACTTTTCTTGTTTAAATTGTACTTAGTTAATTATTAATGTTTGCGAATCCAATGAAATACCTCATTGGATGAAGTGCCAACTCCAAATAATAAACATATTTTCAAATTGCACAATGTTTTCACATTAATAAATTAATTACGCTATATTTTTAAAATATGGTACACAACATTTCTAGAGTATTATAATAATATACCTAGTAATTATGTAGTTTAAATTTGACTTTTTTGCACAACCTTCTAATATCACATAATTTACCCGTGATCGGTTTATCTGATAATTTACTATCGGTTAGTATTAGGAAATAATAGCCAAATATAAGCGCACGTACATTACATATCTCATAAACATGATACACATTCTTTTACTATATATATGTACATACATCTACGTACATACATATATAACTAAAAATCTAAATTTCGGCTCAAAATGCAACAAACAAGTTTATCTTTATCAGTAAAGAAAAAAAAACTATAGCTATTTTTCATTCATCAAAACTTTTGTATATGAATTTTAAAAGGTGAATGTTTCACAATCTAAATTTAAATTCTTAAAATTAAAAATAAAAACAAAATAGTAATTCCAATGTTAATTTAAAAAAGTTCTCAAAAATCCCTATGTTTCTTGATCTCTTTTTAAATTAACTCGCGATGATGTAATATCGGCGTTTATATGATTTATGTTAGTATGTAAATATACAGCAACCTAAGTATATGCATACTATGTAAGAGTTAAAAAAACAAATGCGAACTTAATAAAGAAAAAACTGAATTCATATGAAATAAATTAAAAGAAAAATCAAGTTCCAGGTTTTAAAATGTTCAATTGTATTAATTTAATGACTCGTCATATACAAATATGACTTCTATTTCACCTTTAAACACACAAGTATTATTTTACTAAAGTAAAGAAATTTTTTATCTAATTTTTTTTTTTCTTTTTTAAATTTCACAATATCGGATTATAAGTAATTATTTCGCTTTTATAAAACGATCGTTCTACAAAAATACAATAAACACGATGTAATATACATAGTATAATATATTTTACCTTGTTTTGTTTTTAATATTATAGATATATAAATTAACACACTTTAAAAATAATGGAAATTGTATGAGATTCCAATTTGAAATGTTACTTTCTCAAAAAACTTGAACAAACTGAACTATTGAAAAATATTCACCTTATCCCATCATCCAAAATTTCACTTCCATATTTTTTTTTTGTTTTTATGTTTTTGATTCAGCAGAATTAAATTAAAATTAAACTCCAAGTTCAAGCAATATTCCATGTACATTCCGCTCTCAATTCTCAAGTGTTTTATATGAAATAGTATTGCCAATTGGTGTTTGAATTCCCATCAAACATGTACATATGGACATATTTTCTGTTCAACATCTTTTATTATAATCAATTTTAATACTTAATATAATATTAATTTTAATAACTAAAATTTTTTTAATAAATTATATTAAATGTTGATTAAAATACATTTAGATTAATACCAACAATGTAACATTTTAGTATGTAGGATATCTGCGTACTTAAAAATAAGTATATCTTATATTTATATGTAAATACTTAAAAATAAATTATAGTAAAATGGCTGTATCTTAGTTTACTTCGATAAATAATCATGGAAATTTTACTATTCAATATTTTTAAATAATAAAAATATAAATATTATTTACCTCTTTAAAAATTAAGTTTTTTTTTTTATAAATTTATGAAAGTCGCTCTAATAAATCTGTAATCAAAATTATATCTTTTACGGCGACTACACCTCCTTTATTTTGTTTGTCTTCTTCAGAATTATATGTCAAAGGAATTAATTTTTTTTCATTTAAACTTTTTTGGAAGTCATACATACAACCATTTAGCGATAACAGAATGGCGTGTGGAGCGCACGTATCCCATTTATAGGTTGTTCCTTTTGACAACAAATATATATCAGCTTCGCCAGTTATTACTTTTAAAGCTTTATGACCAGCACCAGCCGAGAAAGCTATTTCATATTTTTCATCCTTGAAAGTATCTATAATATTGGAATGTTCTGAAGTTGAAAAGAGACCGATTTTGGATGAACGTTTGGTTTCTTCTTGAATTAAATTGTTGGTTTTCAAATCCCCAAGACAAATACCCCAAAATATTTTGCTCTTATATTGTTTTTCGATTTTTTCACAAAATGGTTGATTAATAACGCCACAAATTGGAATTCCGGTTTCAATATCGTAAGCTCCAATTAACACTGTAACACAATCTAATCCAGTTGAGGTAATACCCGGGAAATTCGAAAAAATTGTATCACCAGCTATGTATTGTGATGTTGCATCTATAATTTTTGCCTTTATTTTAAATTTTACATCAGATTTTGTATGAAATAAAATCACCTATAGGATCTATCCAAATTCCTAATTTCGAGTAATCAAATTTTTCTGGAAATTCTGGTATAACTTGTTCTTCATTTAGAAAACTTTCTTCAGAATGGACCACATCTGCTAGACTTTTAGCCGCTGCTTTATTGCCATTCAAAACTACCTCTAAGCAAGTCGCTGTTTCTTCGGGACTATTTGCTATTTCAATACAAACAGTCTCACCTAAACTATTTGTAAATATTGGCGATTCTTCTCCTTTGATATTTGATTTTAATTCTGGGAACTTTTATATGGAAATTCAATTAACTAATACTTTACTTTTATTTTTTTTTGTCTTACCAATTTCCCAATATCATATTTTATCATTTCTTGAATTAATACGTCTGCAAGAGTCTTAAAATCCTTTATAAACCTTAAATGTATATACCAATGTACATATATTTTTAATTATATAAATTTACTTTTAGAGAAAATTTTGTACCGAGGGTTGGCTTCCACTTCATTCTTTTCTTCAATTAAAAGTTCTAACAAAACAGGGTCTTCCCTTATTTTTCTTGCAACATTAGCTGATTTTTCAGCTACATTTACCAGCTCTCTTAAAAAATTTCTGGACATTTTAAAATTTCCACGTTTACTTAAAGCCTAAAGTGTAACGTTTTTATTAATCAAATTAGTGTTCACTATCCTACTTCTAGATTTTTTGTTTACAAAAAAAGGATATGTACATATGTAAGTATATACCATAGAAAAAAACTGACAACTAAAATGGTATATGTCATATGTGTTTTCGGGTTGGCTTTGGACATTCCGTTTTCGAAAAATAAAATATAGAGCACAAACGCAATTATAAAAAGGAGGATGTCTTAAAATTTTTATATTTTTGAAAAATTTTGGCAATTGTTGTGAATTTAAAAAATTAAAAACATTTACGTGCTCTAACTATTCACGATAGCCAAACTTCAACACAAATACACTACCTCGAATAAATGCGTAAAGGATCTGTGCAATTACGTTATTTTTTCCCGTAGGTGGAAATAGTATTTTTAATCTACGCCAGATGAAAATTGGATATTCGCACGTATTTTGGCATTTATTTTACAGCCAGATCGTGTATCTCGCCTTTTTACTCACTTTTTATTCACTTTCAAATCAGAATTTGATTTTAGCATTTTTTCTCAAATTACTGACTGAATGTTTTACTTTCAAAAACAAAGGGAAAACTTTTGTATACAATTTAAAAAAAAAACGAGATAAGTAACCGGAATAATTCTTCTCACTCGAAAATTACAATAAGTATATGAATATGATAGTTACTCACTTTCTTCTCATTTTGCGAGTAAAATAGCAAGACGGACAATCAAGCCCTAAGGGTTTGGATTGTCTTTGTTTTATTAAATAGATATTTAAAAGATAAAAAAAAAGCTGTATGAAAAAAATTTTACGAAAAAAGTTAAGATTATATTTTATTTCTACAACAGAAAAGATTGTCCATTTACAAACGCATGTATAATTTTCATGAGTGACATGAAATTATCAAATTCTGATGAGAGAACAGAAACATACATATATTTGATAAGCAGATAATTGATATTCAAAATAAAATAAAAATTCTTAATTTCAAAATAAACTAGGATATTTTTGCTTAATGGAAGTTATTATAAAAATTTTGTTTAATGAAGTTACAGTTTCTCATCTGTAGAAATCTGTTAGTTTTTTGCTAAAACTAGTTATCAAAATAATGAAACCAAAAAGAAATCGGCAATCATACGAAATCTTTTAGTCTTTGGGGCGAAATTCATGTAAAACACGTGATAGTCCAATGTTATTCAAATTGTGGACATAGATTTTGTAGTCTTCCAAAAAAAAAAGGGTGCATGAACAAATTCATTTCGACAAATTGTATAAATGCAGAAGGAAATGAAGATGTACCATTAATGATGGCATGACAGTGTGAACACCAAAACATTTGCGTGTTTCCATAGAAACATTTTACGCATACACTTTTACCATGATATTAAAAATTAAATGTGGCAATGCCTAATATCAATCGTTGCAATTGTCAAAATGAAAATTAATATAATTTATGTATGTTTAAAGTGTATTTCGTTCCTAAATCCTATAGCAGTTCATTTGACACTTACTTGACGTTTGTTTGTCGGCACGTGCATTATGGTCAACTCAGAATTATTATTAGTGTAACAATTATCTTATTAGAGAGAAAAATATAATTTTTTAAAACAAATTCAGGATGGCTCCCATTGCTAAGAATAAAAAACATGTTAAAAAGAATATGGATACGTCAGGAGAAAAAGTTATTTCAGCTCAGGTAATAAAGTATAAATATTTCAGTACACGCAATAAATAACTTTTTATACAGTTACAAAAAAAGATGGATCAGAAAGGGTCAAAAAAAAGCGGAAAGAAACCAGAACGTGGCGTAGTTTTATTACGACATATACCAAAAGGGTTTTTCGAGGATCAAATGAAAGACTTTTTTTCTCAATTTGGGGAGGTTACAAGAGTAAGATTAGCAAGATCTCGAAGAACTGGTGGCCCAAAATGCTTTGCCTTTATAGAGTTTAAAATTCCAGAAGTTGCACAAATAGTCGCAGTAACAATGGACAATTATATTATGTTTCAAAAACTTGTTAAAGCTTATTACATATCACCAGAAGAGCAAAAATATGATTATTTTCGGACAAAAGTGCGAAAAGTGACTAATCCTCTTGGCAAATCAATATTTACATCAAGAAAAATGGTAGGAAAAATTAAAAAAGTAAAAAAACACAATACGTGGAATAGTGAAACATACAATCGAAGAATTTCAAAGACTCTTAAGAAGTTAGCGAAAATAAAAGATAAATACTCCGACTTGGAGTTGGATTTAGATTCTGTTGTCATAAAACCGAAGTTGGCTGTAAATAGTTCAGATCAATCAAGAAATGAGGAAAAGCAACATGATGAAATTTCAGCTGAAGAGTTGGAAAATAAACCGGGTAGCTTACTTTTGGTTAAAAAACGAAAACTATCAAAAAATGAAAAAAACGATGGAAAGAGGAAAAAAAGTAAGTACAAGAATTGGAAAAACCTATTAAGGTACTGCATAGCTTCTTTAAATACATATAGGTGAAACAAAATTTTGTTAGAAAAATAAATTCATTGGAACTGCGCAATATAACGTATCTATGTATCATACATAGAAATCTGTTTTTGTTTTTTAAAACAAGACCATTTTTTAAAAGAACGGTTTTTAGGTAAATTTACATCCTATTGTTTAAATTATAATAATTTGTGCGTGTTTCATCCTTTGGAGCATATGTTAGAAATTTTATTAAAATGTATGCTATAAAAATAACAGAAAAATAAATTGAAATTGTTTTTGAATTTCAGCAAAACCATCTTTGGAACAATTACTAGGAGACACAATAAATGATTCTGATAGTTCTTTTGATGAGGACTATTTGCCTATAGCAGATTATAATCCAAATGAAACTTTAGAAATACCTTCAATTTCCGAGACCGATAAAACATTGCTCAAAAACTTTGCAAAAGAGTTAGAAAAAGTTGAATCTGAATCAGAATCTGATGAATCATATAAGCCATCGCAGGACAGTGGCGATGATGATGAAAATTATAGTTCTGAGGAGAAAAATGATTCCTCAGACAGTACTTTGAACTCTGAAGAAGATAGCGAAAACGAAAATAAAGAAGAATATGAAGATAGTTTTGATCAGAGAAACAATGAAGAAGACAAAAAAACTAAAACTAATTATAAAAAGTCCAAATTAGATAAAGAAAACCGTCTAGACAATTTAATTCGCCGCAAGCCACTTTCTGGTGGAATAACTAAAATATCAAAGAAGTCAAAGCTGCAAAAAAAGAATTTAAAAGAAAAGATTAGTGAAATCGTCAAAAATAAAGATTTAAAGAAATTAAAAAAATTCGATTTGAAGGGTAAAAAAACTATATCATAAAGTATGAATATTTTTTATATGTAAAATTTAAATAATATGTAATTCGTTTTAGGATGTGAAAACAAATCCAGCAACTTTTTTTAGTTTACTTAAAATTGTTACAATTTATTTTATTTTCTCCATATTTTAAATAATAAATAAAAATACAATTTTTAATTATGTATTTGAATAATTTTGATTTCTCTCGTTTGGAGAATTAGTAAAAAATGGTTTCTCCTGGCGAATTCTTTTCCATTTCATTCTTCTATTTTGGAACCAAACTTTGACCTAAAATAAAAACAGAAAAAAGTGGACTAGTTCAGTTGTTAAAAATGCTATAAATTCATGTTCATAAGTAAATAGATGTGGATATGTGAATGATTAATACATTAAATATATGTATATGCATGTATGTTAATAAAATAAATATATGAATGCATGTGCAATCTGTAACAAATTGCACATGAAACTTAATTTATTTTTATTAAACCAATTGTTTGCGCGCACAGCATTGAAGCGTAAAAACAATCATTATTTAAACGAACGAAATGCCAAGCAATTAATTTCCGGTTAATATATATGAAAAAGAAGATAATAAGAAATGACTTAAGACTTGAAACACATACCATAGTATAAACTCAGGCTTAAAGTGTTTTAAATTACCAGAAAGTATAGATCTAAAAGTACAAAAGTACACAGATAGTGAGAAAAAACTAAACTAAGCCGCCACACGTAAGGTAAAACTTCGAATTTACTTCTGAATGAGCTCGATCCAAGAAATATCACAAGCACGGTAAAAAACGAGAAAATATGCATATTACGTCTGTCTGGTATAAGAAAGTTTCTAAAAGCACTTAAAAACTATAAAGTTTTTGCATGAAAAGCGTCTATCTAAATTTTCGGTTTTTGGTATAACTAAAAAATATTTGTTTATGTTTGATAAATACTTTGGAATTTGTCGTTTATCACCTATTTACATATAAAGTTATGAAAAGTTTTTTCAAGTTTTCCGTCTGGTTTATTTTTTTTTAAATGAGATTTTTTTTCTTTTTGCGAAAAATTTCGTCATTGTTTCTCTTTTTTTAAATTTTTTTCAAGTTTTATTCCAGACAAACCTATTATGAACCTATTCATTTATTCAATTATCAATTTATTTTTGATTCTAATTTTGAACGTTTATATAATGTACATACATTGTATGTACCTAAAATGTATGACTATGAATACGTGCATACGAGTATTGTCACAAATTAAGTATTGCTTTATATTTGTGGAATAAGTTATACCTGTCTCTCAGTTAAATTTAATGCCACAGAAATTTCGTAGCGCCGTAATCTAGTTAAATAGTTTGAATGAGAAAATTCGTTTTCCAATTCTTTAATTTGATCCTTTGTAAAAGCTGTTCTTTCTTTCCGGTTTGTAGTCAATATTTTATGCACTTTTACTGAAGCTGCTGGAGTTATATTATTCCGACCTGAAAAAAAAATAAGAGACATATAATTTCTTTCTGCATCCATATACACAAACAATCATATATGTAAGTACAAAATTATTCCAACTATTCTATGTATGTCTGTATGTATGTATGTAGCTGAAGTAAATGAGAACAATGGTAAAAAAGAAATTCTATTATACCTACATGCTTCCACATTACTTTTTTTTCAAATAAAATAAATAATGAACATTTGTATATGTTCATACATATTGGTTTGTAAATCACAGCAGGATTTTTACTCAAATATTTTTTTTTAATCGGAAGTTACTTATTTTCATTATTTTATATAAATACATACATATGTATGTACATATGTTTGTAAGTTTGTATTACATAGAAAAACAAAAGATAATTTTTGCAATCGCTTATTTTTGTTCATTCTAGACTATATACATACATATGTACATATATGAGTATTATTATGTGAATAGATTTTATTAAAAATTGTTTAATTTATGAATTTTGGTAAAATAAATATTATTCTTGTTTAAAACTACGTTTTATGTAAGCATATACATATATGTATTAATTACATACCTAGACAGCAAATTCATATTTTTACGTAAACAATGTTTTAATTTTTTTTGTTTTAACACTTTTTCGAACGGCCGTCTAACTCTACACCCCCGAAGACAGACAGCTGAAATTTTACATATAAATTGATCTTTAATTCTTCCGTAACTTATTTCCGTATAAGAAAATTTTTATTTATTTCCGTCCCTCAAAATTATAACCCCTAAAAGTACCGTTTTTTGATTATTAATTTGTAAATTCTGGCGGTACGAGTATAACATGGCGGTATGATATGACAAAATAGACGTTGAAATTAACCATTAGCTGAAACCTATTTTTTCAAAATTTTTGATATTATTTTTCTCCCAGACCGTAAGTTGTAGTGCTCTGAAATTTTACCACTACCACTACAATTTTTCTACATTTTAAACCATTTTTAATGGTCGTTCGAAAAAAAAAACATTTTCCACCTTCATCCGCTCTCAAATTATCACAACTCGAAACTCGAAAATTTGAATTTTTAGCACCTTGTATTTCCAATGCAAGCTTTTCCAAATTTCTATAAATGCAGAAAGATGACAGTAAATGTCATACCGTCAAAAAATATAATAATTTACCTTAATTTCCGCAATTAACCCTTGAATTCCTTCATTATGTTAACACCACTTACAACTTTTTTTGTCTCATCCTAAATGACCTAAATATGCACAGTCAATATGAAATATCTTGATATATGAATGAAAATAATTTAAAAGGGAAAAATTTTATTTTTTAATGTTTGAAAAACTAAAATTTGAAATTAATGTGTGGAGGATGTTTCTTATTACGTTATAATTATTGATTTTTTTTTCATTTATTTGATCGTATTTGAACCTATAGTTTATGGTGTGCCACTTGATTAAGTGAGTCCTTTTACTTATTTAATAAAATGTACTTTATAAAGTGTAAGTATAGTAATTGTAGATGTGGTATAGAGAGTATAAAATATTATTTGGGGCTGGTTATTTTGAAGTCTACCTAGTTCTTACAGAAATAATACATATATATGTACATATATATAGTACATATTTATATAAACAAATGTACATTATGTTATTTATATAATTAGAGCTTATAAATAATTAACTAGAGTCATAGTGAGGATAATTTTGCAAAAAATACAAGAATTTGGATATCATAAAAATGACTATGTGCATGCCTACAACATGATTCCCGGAAGGCTCTATAATTAATGCAAATCCATTAATTTGTAAAATTTTTGGAATTGAATTCAGTTAATAAAACCCTTCAACCTGTTGGAACTTACGTATATAATATTTTTCGAATAAGATTTTCCTTTATTTCAAGTAAAAGTACTTTCTTCTATTTCAAATATTTTTTTTAGTGTGCAAAAAGAAATACCCATATATCCCATTAAATTTGGAACAAATATTATTTTTTACTCAAGTAATAATTACAGCACGTGCTGTTTTCTCTGTATATCCTCTCGGTTGTAAGAAAAAAGAAAAAAAAATCGTTTAGATTTTTTATCTAAAAACTCAGGAAGTCCTTATTATCCCATAATAAAGAAATATGACATGGGTACTGTTATTTATTTATGTTTTATTATTTTCATTTTTGGGTTGTAATGTCAAGTGGAATGCATATACACATGTAGGTAACAACAGGTAGATGACCTCTATATATAAAATACACACAAACATGCATATGAATGCATGTGTATTTCATTGCATTAATACCCTGTCCAAAAACAAAAATAATATGCTTCTTTGTACGAGTATGCCCGTAGAAAGGCGTAGAAACGATTATTAAAATCGTTTTCATAATTTCAGACACTTTCACAAGATTCAAAATTAATTTTAATATTATTCATATAAGTAAAAAGTGTTAGTTAACCTACAATTAATCACATTTTAAGCCGCATTTTGAGTAAAAAGTTTAAGTTATAACAAAAATTTTAAATTGCTAACTATTTCGGAAAAATATTCTAAATAATAACATATGCAAATATGTGCATGCTAATATACATACTTATCATAAATATTTGCAAATACTATGCATTCCCTTAGCGGATAACCAAGTTCTACGCCATGCCATATTAGATTTATTTAGCCTGTTAATTTTTAAATTTAACTATGGAAATATTTTCGTATTGAATGAGATTTTTTTTTGAAAAATTGTTTTTTTATTTGAAGAAATTATAATGTTATTGTAACCTTTTTAAAGATAAGTTATAGACAAAAATATTTTAAAAATATAAACAAAAAATAATTTGAAATCAATTATGTAAGGTCACGTATATTTTACACTAAAGTAAAAATTTAAGCCATTTTTTACTACAAATTTATTATTTTACCTTATTCTTACTACGAAGGTTGGATTATTTTTTTTTTTTTTTAATTTCTTTATTTTAAAACTTAATTTGAAAGAAGGATTCTAATTCTTTGTTTATAATTGAGTAAGTATATTTTTATGGGCAATTTTTAAATAAACGGGGTTTGTACAAAAGCGCATTCGATTCGAAAAGAATCACAAAAAATTTTTCCTCAATAAAAAAAAGATGCAAAAATATTTAAATTTACTTCATTTATTAGATTGACTATGTAGTCAATATATTATCAGTAATTATAGCTTTCTATTTATCACTAATTAAATAGAAAGCTATTCGAAATTACGTTCTGCTCTACTCATTGTGATATTGAAACATGTTTTTAAAGAATTTCTGTTAACTTTGCAACGAAAAGGACTTATAAAGAACAAAGACAATACCACAGAATAAAAAACAATTGTTTTTTAGAAAATAAGTAAAGTTAGAGTACACAACATAAAAATAATGTATATATGTATATTGGTTCTGTCCCATAAAATTATGTACGATTAGTCACTGCAGGCTAACATTATAGTTTCGTTCAAAATTAACTGTAAAATAATGGAAAATAAATTAAAAACATAAATTTCGAATAAGATCTAATATGAAATGATTTAGACTAAAAATTATGCGCTTTATAAAATGTTTGAATCCGGAATAAGTTTCTTGTATGTCTCATTTCAGTTTTATAGTACCCATAAAGCTAAATGTTATTAAATTGTTAATAAAATTTTATTACGGAATCTATAGGGTTTTTTTTGGTTTTGACTAAAAGGATGAGAAAATTGTTTGAATTTTCGT